TGGGTGGATGCTGTCGCGGATTTTTTTCCCATAAATCAAAATTTGACCACAGTGATGGCCCTTTACCAGTTTATAAGTCAGTTGTAACACCATTTATGGAATTATAACCCCATTTATGACCATTATTAATCATTTAATATCATTTAACTGGTAAATGGACCATGCAGGAATTACTTAATGGCCAATGAGTCAAAAAAAATCGTCTAAGAATCCATGAGGTTTTTTGTCTGTGAATCCAAGAGGTTCGTCAATAGCCCGAAGAGTTCCTCAATGTCCCGAAGAGTTTGTCAATGTTCGTCAATTTTCCCAAAAGTTCGTCAATATTTTTTCAACTTCGTCACTTCGTCAATATTTTCTTACTACGTTCGTCAATTTTCCTAAAAGTTCGTCAATTTTTTTTGCGTTCGTCAATTTTCCCAAAAGTTCGTCAATATTTCTTCAAGTTCGTCAATTTTTCCAAAAGTTCGTCAATAAGTTTTTACCTTCGTAAATTTCCCAAAAGTTCGTCAATATTTTTTCAAGTTCGTCTATTTTCCCAAAAGTTCGTCAATTTCCCCAAAAGTTCGTCAATATTCGTCAATATTTTTTCAAGTTCGTCTATTTTCCCAAAAGTTCGTCAATTTGCCAAAAGTTCGTCAATTTGCCAAAAGTTTGTCAATTTTCCCAAGAGTTCGTCAATATTCCCAAAAGTTCGTCAATTTTCCCAAAAGTTCGTCAATTTCCCCAAAAGTTCGTCAATATTCTCAAAAGTTCGTCAATTTCGCAAAAGTTCGTCAATTTCCCCAAAAGTTCGTCAATTTTCCCAAAAGTTCGTCAATTTTCCCAAAAGTTCGTCAATAATTTGTAAGTTCGTCAATGTTCGTCAATTTCACCAAAAAGTTCGTCAATAAATGCAAAAAACCCAGGGAAAAGTTCGTCAATATTGACGAACTTTTTGGGAAATTGACGAACATTGACGAACTTACAAATTATTGACGAACTTTTGGGAAAATTGACGAACTTTTGGGAAAATTGACGAACTTTTGGGGAAATTGACGAACTTTTGCGAAATTGACGAACTTTTGAGAAAATTGACGAACTTTTGGGGAAATTGACGAACTTTTGGGGAAATTGACGAACTTTTGCGAAATTGACGAACTTTTAAGAAAATTGACGAACTTTTGGGGAAATTGACGAACTTTTGGGAAAATTGACGAACTTTTGGGAAAATTGACGAACTTTTGAGAAAATTGACGAACTTGAAAACATATTGACGAACTTGTGGGAAAATTGACGAACTTTTGAGAAAATTGACGAACTTGAAAAAATATTGATGAACTTTTTGGGAAAATTAACGAACATAAAAACATATTGACGAACTTTTGCGAAAATTGACGAACTTGAAAAAATATTGACGTACTTTTGTGAACATTGACAAACATGAAAAAGTGGACATTTTTTGGAAAATTGATGAATTTTAAAAAATATTATTTAACAATTATTAACTAACTTTTCGGAAAATTGACGGACTTTGTTGGAAATTGACGAACATTGACGAACTTTTTGCGATGAAACTGTCGATTCATTGACGATCCTTGTGAGTTCAAAGACACGCCCGCGGAGTCGTTGAATTGGCAAAGGTTAACTTGTGAGATCTGTTCAGACTGGGTAGTTGATTGTTGTGACCATGTACCTGCATGATGATTGTTTTTAGCTTCTCCCATGTCTCCTCTGCGCTTTCTTGACGGTTTAAACACTACTGACAAATTACATGCGAAGTTTGGTCTACATGTACTGGATATAGGGTCTACCCACATTACGTGGGAGGATCTAGTTTAGTGGAATTCGCTTCAAAGTTTCAGCTCACTGCATCGAAACAGAGAGAGAGAAATAAATAAATTTAAGACATACGTAAACCATCAAAAACTTATAGACAAACCAACGAACTAATAGATCGGTGTTACGTTGCGATATCAATGCAGTATGGCAAATAATCCAAGACATGTGGTAATTGTTGGAAGCTTGTGGTTTCCATGAGAATTTGGGGACCAAAAATGCGCAAAATGCATTGTGCGTACCTTTACACCATGCAAACCCAATGAACAGTGACACTTGTGGGAACATGGCACCCAAAAATAAGGTGCACCAGAGGCATTTTGTGTACGTTTTGCCATGCCAATATGTGTGCAAACCCAATGAAAATCTTATTTAAATTTTCAGGAAATCACAAATAAGAACCATATTCATTTTTCGCAAGGTGGGGGAATGCAAAAACATTTCAGATCACCTGAAGAAAGTGGCAGCCCAGTAGCCAACTTTCTTCCGGGCATCTCCCAGGGGAGGCTCAAGGAATTGAAGGAGTAGACATGAATAATCCCAAATTGGTTTTTACAGCGTTTTTTTTAATTGTTGTTTCTTTCCAGACATCCACAAACTGAACTCAAACCTTATACAAGTTTTGGCTGAGCATCAATGTTTATCGGATGACATCTCCCAAGTAAACTCCAAGTGTATGCCTATAATTCCGGATTCGCTGAAGCAAGAGAACCGTACTTGGCGTTCCTTAGTGTTTTTGCTTAATGAGACATCAGTTTAACAATGGCCAAAATAATCCTCTTCTGTGCGCGTAGGGTTCCACGCAGGCATGAACGAGGTTCTTTATTTGTAGGAATGGTCACGTAAGCTATCACAGCAGTACTAGCGTTCGCGTAAATCGCTTCCCAGACATGGGTAATGCTCGCTTCGACAGGTCTGTTTCAAAACCCCTTCCAACTTGTATGTCTATTGATAAATAACATGACATTGGCAGTTTGCAAATGCGTTTTTAGAAATGCTGGCTGACTTTCCGCGACAATCTAGTTGTTTCCCTGAAAACTGTTGCTTACGTGAGCAAGAAAGTCAGATCATCATCACCCCCATAAAAAATTCACTAGATAAGCAGATTCAGGGTCACCGACTATCGAGATCATGCATTGATGAACTTCAAATCACCGAAAACTATTCAGAGCGTATATATAGGTTGCGAAATGCTCAGGAGTTGCAGAGCAAACCTGATCGTCCGTTTGCAAGTTTACTCCACAAGGGTAATTGTTTTCAAAACATCGAGGTCCATTGACAAACTTTTGGTGACGAACTTGCATGCCCTGTCAAAAATATGACAGCAACATGATACTTATGAATGTTCAAAGCAAGAAGTACGCGACGCAGGCTCCAGCATGAACAAGCATAGATTGTTTGCTTCTGCCTGGGAACTACAATTTGTTACCTGTCCTCACCAATAATTTTCTTATGAATCAGTTGTTACTCGAGAAACGGAGGTGTTGGGGCAAAAAGTGAATAGAACGTAGGCATTCAAAAAAAGACGCTGTTGGCAAAGGATTGGCGTTTTTTTTTCGGGATCAATATGATGTATAGTAGAATGTGCAGCAACAGATGTAAGGGCAACCAAATGCACACTACCAACATGACCACACATGTGCCTATCTACAAAGTGCGTGCCTGTGTACATGATTCTGACCATATGATAAGTGCCTGTAGAACCAGTTCACTCCCTTTGTATATAATTATTGTGTTTGGTACTCTCACACAGAAAAAACACATACACAACTACACAGACACCCAGGTTATACCTATCACCCACCGAGTTAATGCAAAATTGCGACTTCTCATATGCCACCAAGCCTATTGTCCAGGTTGATCCAATCGGATTTTACGTTGTGTTTTTTTTAATGTTTTTTTATGTTTTTTTTGCAGGGCATCTTGCCTCCCAAAAAGGAGAACTGATCCGATTTGTACTGTATTTGAACTGAAACATTTTTTGGTACCATTTAGAAGAAGACGCTTTCTTCAAAGGCCATGTAAAATACTATTGGATAAACTATGGTCAATCTAGGCCCTTGCAATCTCATATTATCACTTTGGAAGGGAACTGTACTGCTACTGCTGCTACTGCTACTGCTGCTACTGCTACTGCTACTATTGCTAACACTGCCAATACTCTTCGTCAGCAATCAAGGCACCAAAAAAATCCAACTTGTTAGGCTTATCTAGTTCTATATTTTTCACAAAAAAAAACAGATCAACCACTTTTGAAAGCATACTCAAACGATAATTATGCATGTTGTCTCTATCCAGCTTTAACGACTACAACTATATACATATTTTTATGCAACAGCATTTTTCAACTGATTTGCTCACTTGCTCTCCTGGTTGCTGTTCAAGTATGTTTGCCTGCTTGTCTCTGTTACGGTCCTTTCCCAATACATGACTAAATTGCGAGTCCCAATTTTCAGTTGACACAAACACAAACGCGAAATTGAAAACTGACAAAATCTAATACATATATACGTAAATAAATATATATATATGTTTTATTTGTAGCATACATATGTATATATGTATGTATATATATATATATGTTTCAAAAGCGATGTAGGAATCGCTAGCCAATGTCACGACTGGTAAGCCCTATCCAGTTCGTCTGAAATCACTTGCAATCAATGGCATTCTTTTTGTTTTCCTAGATGTTCAAGAATGAATCCTAGAAACACCAAAATCAACACCAACTTAGATTTGTACCATCAACCCCTTCCCCCGAAAGGGGTCGTTGTCATTAGTAGGTCAAAGATTCAATCACCACATCATGTTCAATGGGTCATATGTATGGCCATGCCTCACCTTTAGCCAAAAAACTAATGGGTCCATCGTTTAAGGAGTTAAATAATGCCATTAGAAAATACAACGAGGTGTCAATGTGTGATTTCCTAAGAAAACATGCAATCCAAAACCCAAAATGTGGAATCTAATAGTTACCCCAATTGGACCAATGTGGAATCAAATTATGTCAATCTCCCTGAACACTAGGGCGAGCATTCTAGATATCCAAAATCACAAACAATGGGACCTCAGATTAAACTTGGCGAAAACTACACACCACATATTTGACTATCTTAAATGCAGGCCAGACAAGTCATGCAAAGAACATTAAAAAAATAAAACCACCAGCTTCTGGGCCTGGGTACCACGCGTGTTGAACTCCTTTGCAATTTCCAATGGGCTGCGTCGCATTGACGTCTGCTGCATTGGGTCAGCCCCAGAGGCGATCAAGAAGTCGACATCCGCGAAGTATGCAGCGATGTGCACCGGATAGATCTCTTCAGCTGGGAAAAGACGGGCACTAATAAACGGTTCATGGATTTTGTCGCGGGTCATGAAACTCAACATCCTCATCTCCTGTGGCCCCAAAATGATTCTTGGGCGAACCAAACGACAGGAAAACGTGTTCACAGTGATTGACACCAAATCATCTACCAAGCCGGGATTCTGTGGTTAACCAAATCTTGATTCGAATTCTTCCATGGATTACGACTGGGATTTTCTGGGATTATGTATGATATTTGCTTGTATTCAATGCTTTCTCTGGCTTCCTGCCCCCAAAACCATGAGGAGAATCAAGCAGCAGCTTCAGCATTCAGGACACCGATCCCAACCTTCGCCCATCCGTATTCCTGCTATACATATCCAATAAAAACGAGTGCCTGCTTCACTTCTATATATATATATGTACCTATATATGTACCTATATATATATATATACTATTTATAATATATATATATATAATATTATATCAGACTGATCTATCCCATTTAGTTCCACCTGCCAGGTGAGGGTCTTTAGATTTTATCAAACTGCATGCCGCCCACCGCCTCCTCCTACCTCCTCGCCTCGGACTCCGCCCTCAACCGCGTGCTCGGGGCTCCAGATCTCAGTGGGCACTGCGGGACCTCAATTGCGAGTGCAAGATGTCACAAAGAATGCCAGATAGAATGTCAGAGATGTCAGATAGAATGCAGACAGAATGCCAGAATATATATCAGATAGAATGTCATGGTGAGGATCCGCTTTCCATTTTCCAAGTTTGGGTTGTGATGCAGGATGGCACGTCCTCAAGCATGCAAGCCTGTTTTGGGGTTTCCTGATCAAACACGAAGTTGTGAAATCAGGTTTGGTGATAAAATGGGTTGGAGCCAGAACATGCTCACTCACTAGCTGTAGAACATGCGCGTACATCGCACATGAACGGCTGCAACAGAGTGGCTTGGGTCAAAAAATCTCCAACTATGACACCTTTCGATTTGAGATTTGGACTCGCTTTTTTAGACCATGTTCCTACCTTTTTGGGACGGTACTGGCCCAGCCAACGGGTATGCCCATCACAACAAGTTAACGGCTCAAGTTCAAGGTTTTCCTTGAGACGAGTGCGAAGCGATGTACGAAGCCAAGAGCGCGTCGTACACGCTTTGCTCCACGTACCTTACCTCGTCGGAGGTAATGGAGAGGTTGGTTTGCGTACATACCTTGCAAGCAAGCAGACCAATGTTGTTTTTCCACTCGTGCGTTCAGGGCTCCTCTTTCGACATACCCCGGGCTCGCAACAAACTATATAATCCAATATTGTTGGGGGCGCTTTGAACACGGTTCCAGATAATTGATTAAAGATTAGATTCGGCCTGGACAAACAGCAGTCAAGCGAAGGTTCCAAAAGACATCAAAATCTAAAGCGACTTCCAAACGCGCATGGGCCCACGGCGCATGCCTATGCGTTCCAAAAATTGGTTGGCAAACAGATACGATCACGGGCCCTCAGACTCGGATGAGTCAAGTTCATAAAATTAAAATCCCACGCAGTGAGAAATTTCTTCGACACTCCCTTATTTGACGAATTCTGTATTAGGTTACCCCTTATGCTGATGGGTTCTACTTCCCTGGCTGGTTGCTTACATAGATCATTGAAACGCGACTCATTGATCAAAGTTAGATACGGCAAATACTTGCAGACACTTGCGGTCACATGCTTTCACACTGGCACTTGTGGAGCAATCTGCCCATCCACCTCCGCTGTAGCAGTCGAGGGAACTGCCAGCGCTGCGCAGCGCCGGCACGGGTGAAGCCGGTGCCACCTGGCAAACTGCACGACTGGAACGTGAATCTAAACGCATCCTCAAATCAAAACTAGACGACGGTTGGCCCGAGAGCGTTTTTGGCGATGGGGTACTGACATGTAGTGAAGCAGATCAGGAGTAATGATCGAAGGAAGTTTAGAAGTCAAACTTCCGACAATATGGACAGATGAAAAGCAGAGCAGGGAAGAGGCAGAGAGAAGAGAAAGATTAGAAGAGAGAAGATCAGAAGAGAAAGAGTCAGAAGAAAGAAGATGCAGATGCGCGAAAAGGTAGGGAAGTCGCGAAACACTGTGTTTTTCCAATGATTTGTGGCTCCGGAGAGTCGAAAAGTAGGCTCGCTAAAGCGGCGGGTGCGGAGCCAGCTGGCCAGATGAGAGATGAAAAATTGCACGCCGTTGTGGCGCGAAGCACATTTGCAAGTCAAAATGTACAAAACACCTCAGTTCCGGACCACTTTTGGAAGTTGAGATGTTGAAAAAGTGTACGCCGTTGTGGCGCGAAGCACATTTGCAAGTCAAAATGTACAAAACACCTCAGCTCCGGACCACTTTTGGAAGTTGCGATGTCGAAAAAGTGCACGCCGTTGTGGCGCGAAGCACATTTCCAAGTCAAAATGTACAAAACACACCATTCTCGGACCACTTTTTGAAGTTCAGATGTCGAAAAAGTGCACGCCGTTGTGGCGCGAAGCACATTTCCAAGTCAAAATGTACAAAACACTACATGTTCGGACCACTTTTGGAAGTTCAGATGTCGAAAAAGTGCACGCCGTTGTGGCGCGAAGCACATTTCCAAGTCAAAATGTACAAAACACCCAGTTCGGACCACTTTTGGAGGTTGAGATGTCGAAAAAGTGCACGCCGTTGTGGCGCGAAGCACATTTCGAAGTCAAAATGTACAAGACCTACAGTTCGCGCCACTTTTGGAAGTTCAGATGTTGAAAAAGTGCACGCCGTTGTGGCGCGAAGCACATTTCCAAGTCAAAATGTACAAAACACACCATGCTCGGACCACTTTTGGAGGTTCAGATGTCGAAAAAGTGTACGCCGTTGTGGCGCGAAGCACATTTCGAAGTCAAAATGTACAAAACACACCATGCTCGGACCACTTTTGGAAATAGATAGATAGATAGATAAATAGATAGATAGATAGATAGATAGATAGATTGGGTAATTGAATGAAAGAAAGAGAGAGATAGATAGATAGATCGATAGATAGATAGATACATAGAAAATAGATAGGTAGGTAGGTAGGTAGATAGTCAGAGAAAGAGAGCGAAAGAAAGGAGACCTCAAGCACCTTTCGGTCCATCAGTGGCTTCGCTCTGCCATCCCTGATTCACAACAACCAACCTCTCCTATAGGTTTCCTATTTTTGAAACTTCCGCCACCGCCTTGTGCGGTACTACTGGTATGCTATCAGGAGAAGACGCGCAACTGTGAATATGCGCAGGTGTGAAGATGAAATGATTTGAAGATGCTCGGATGTGAAGATATGAGGATATGAATCGAAGGTGTGAAGATAGGAAGGAATGAAGATGTGAATATGTGAGGATCTGGAGGTGCGCAGATGGTAAGAACCGAAGAAGTGGAGATGCGAGGATGTGAAGATGTGAAGATGTCAGGAGGTGAAAATTTGAAGATGTGGAGATGTACAGATTTGATTTGAAGGTGTGAAGATGTGAAGATGTGCAGGCGCGAAAATGTCAAGATGTAAACACCGCCACCAAACACCAGAGCCTCGAAGGCAAGGTGGATGATTCTTCCCGAACCCCGGTACTATATTCTGAGTTGAAAACGGAAGAAACTCGAATGTTTTTGACGTAAAGGTGCACGAATTAGCTGCAGGCGCCAGAGAACACCACAGATCTGCGCAGGATCCTTTTCTATTACCGTAAGAACCCCTTAAGTGCACACACACACACTGTTTGGGGAACAACGCTACCCCCTAAGAAATCTCTTGGACATCCCCCGGTTTTGGACGAGTTATGTATTAGGATATTCCCTACGCTAACCGGTTGCAGATCAAAATTACATTACAGATTGCATATGTGAACAATTTGACCCTTTTCCCCGGGGTGCAGTTCAGTTAGATACTCAAGTAAGTTGCTGTTAGCCACGTGCCGAAGACATGCGAAGGCAAACGCTCGTTTCTTTTCCTTGCTATTTGGGTCTTGAGCCACAATGTTGTGGCAGACGTCGAAGGCGTTACATGCAAGCTATGTGACATGCACTACCGCCTAGTTCCCTTTAACACCCCCCCATGCCCGAAGTTGTTTGAAATTTGGGCACAGGAGAGGGAACAAAAGAGATTTGGCACGCTGCAACTACCGCAAAAGATGAATTATCTGTAAGCGCTGGTTCACTCCTCGTCTGTCCGATGGACGTAGACTCGGAGATCCCCATGCCGCCATCTCCGTGGCGAATTTGTAGGTAGATGCATCATGTCGCACAAAGATAAACCCACATCAGACTACACTAACTACACAACGAATTGATGATGTTGGCCGTCCGGTGGACGTAACGAACACATCGCATCTACGTGAGCATTAAGGTAGCTATCAGCGGATCTACTCTGTACAAAAAAACTATTGGGAAATGATGTGAGAGATAATCTAAGATTACTGTACACTAGCCACGCTCAGAGTCCTCTCATAAGTCAAAGTTGATAATCATCATCATCCGTAGCCAAAGTAGATGATGTTCGCCACATTGCCCCGTGTCGATCATTGGTTGGTCTTCTTCTTCTTCTGGGGTGCTTGTTGTGGCTTTTCGCTAGGCGGAGGTCGTGATGGTTTTGGTGCGGCTTTGGCAGGCATTGCCTTTTGTGGTAGCTTCGCCTGTTGCGTTGGTGCGGACGATGGAGTGGCGTATGAAGACGACGATGCTGTCTCAGCAGGGGCACCCTTAGGTGGAGGTGGCTTCGGGCCCATAGATGGGCTCGTGTCCATGCCCTGCTGCAGCGGTTTGCGAAGCTTCGGCTGCTCGCTGGGCGCCCTCATTGTCCCCGATGCTTTTGAAGACAGCCTCGGTTACTTCTGGATCGAGGTTTGGGGCAATGGATTGTTTCCATCCCAATCTTCCACGCTGTGCTTCCTGTTCACTTCTATATATAAATATATATATATGTACCTATATATATATATATATATGTACCTATATATATATGTACCTATATATATATATGTACCTATATATATATATATATGTACCTATATATATATGTACCTATATATATATATGTACCTATATATATATATGTACCTATATATATATATATGTACCTATATATATATGTACCTATATATATATGTACCTATATATATATGTACCTATATATATATATATGTGTGTACCTATATATGTACCTATATATATATTCTATTTATAATATATATATATATATAATATTATATCAGACTGATCTATCCCATTTAGTTCCACCTGCCAGGTGAGGGTCTTTAGATTTTATCAAACTGCATGCCGCCCACCGCCTCCTCCTACCTCCTCGCCTCGGACTCCGCCCTCAACCGCGTGCTCGGGGCTCCAGATCTCAGTGGGCACTGCGGGACCTCAATTGCGAGTGCAAGATGTCACATAGAATGTCAGACAGGATGTCAGAATATATATCAGATAGAATGTCATGGCGGGGATCACTTGAAGAAAGTAATTCTCATGATGTTTTACTGAAAAGAATCACCTTTAAAATCAATGCCTTTAAAGTGATTATCCACTATCGTTCCCAAATCCCCATTGTTCCCAAGATTTTCAGCACTCCTCCACTACCACGGAGGCGGTTCGCCTTGGTCGCTTGGCCAGGACCTTCCTCGATTGCGGTCGCGCCATTGGCGGCAGATGATCCAGCGCCACGGCTTCGGGTTTCGCAAGCCTGGATCATGATCAATGGCAAAACATGTTGACTGATTTGATGTTGGAGCTGTTGGAAACTATTGGACAAACAAAAGCTGGCTGACGGATTCAAAGATGGATCTGCCCTTTTTTGAGATCAGAATGCTGAGACGCAATGTGCTTGAAACACTTTGACTGCATCTGACTGCCATATTTCTGTCACCTTCTTTTCACATACCCTGCATCTGAGAAGTCATGCCGGCTAAAGCAAAGTTGTCACATCAGGACATGATTTCCAGTTTCCAGCATTTCTTGCCATCGTCATCCAGACTTGCAACGGTTGCGTGAATATGAATCCTTTGCAGGCTGCTAATCCATTTACTATTCATGCCATTAATCCCCGCATCACCATGAATACGCCAATCCATCATTGGTAGCTGCGCAGAGCCCCACTTTTTTTTCGATCGCAGTTCTACGAGCATCTAACACCACTGGCTTGTCACCATGTCTCCTCACCTGCGGGGTGAAATATGGCATGACCGGAAATGATTTTCCGGCATACTTTCCAGTTCAGTGATGTCCATTGATTAATGATTAATGTCTGGATTTTCCAGTTAGAAGACCCTTCCAGTCAAGGTGTTGAATTTTTTCAGGGCTAAGCAGCCACTCGGCACTTATAGTTTCTTGACAATGGGAACATTTTCTTAAACGCTCCGTTTGTTGACAGTTTTACCCACTATTAAACATGGGAAAACTTAAAATGAAAAATCTATCTTACACATGGGATGAAACCAAAAGGCGCCACAATTAAAGATCCATGTGTCCAGACATACATTGAATATCATTATATAAATCACTTTGACGCGTGCTTGTCACATCTTGAAGTACTACCTTCCACAGTCTAATCTGTTTGCATCACAGCGTATCAGTGAAAACATGAAAAAACGGTGATACAACTAGTGTTATGCTGATTCCTGAATGATGCAAATGGTTCATGGGTAAGGCTTGAACCAGTTGTTTCACAGTAAGCACCTAGACTTTCAGTAGTCGTCTCAGCAAACTGCTGCTGCGAATGCATGGCGTTTGGGACTTTTCGATCTGAGGGTGTGAGGCAGACTGCTTTACAACATAGGAAGCAAATACAGAACGCAAATCAGAAATCTACGTGAATGGGTCAAAACCCTGGTGCAAGTATAAAGATAGTAAAGGGGCGATCACCAAAAAACATGGTCTGTGGTTCTATAAGTACTGGCCCGTGTCCATGTTGGAGGATTATCCCACTTTGTAAGTGGTTGGTAGCCACGGTTGAAAAAACACTTCTACAATCCCAAGAACTCAAGAACTTATTCACCGGGGTTACCAAACAGCCTCCAGCATCAGGTTCTTGCACTTGTTGACCTTCATGACCTGAATCATTGAACTTTGCAACATATGCTTGCACATGCTTGAATCCACTGCCTTTTCATCACGGAAATCTTATGACGGAAATCTTATGGCAAATGAAAAATCCACACATCAATCAAACAATATATTTGCCTTTTCTCATGTAGCACCAACCTACAAAGAGGTCCACCATCCAAACAAACTCGGATACCTCAATCATATTTGGCCGGTGTGAACATCCAATTGCATGTACATCTGGAGGAAACAAACCGCCTCCATCGAAACGTTTTTAAACCTGGTGGCAATCCCCTTGTGTTGATTGTTTCATGGGAATTCCCCAGATGGATTCTAGTATCGTCAAACAGCCAGGTAGCTTTAACGGGATCACCCCATAAGGTATGAATCAAACGTATTTAACAGCAACCTGGGACGCACAGCGGCTGCTATTGAGAAAAACTAACCGGCCATGCCTTTACCATAAATTTTGGATGATTTTAGCTTATTAGGATTTGGGTTTTTTGGACCATGCATTTCATCGGTATTTTTGAAGATTCCGTCTCCATCATCCTGCGACTGGGCCATTGGGAATTGCTACAATGGCTCCATGACTAACTGCGTCATTGCTGAATGTGTAAAAGCTGGGGCCATTCCAAATGTTGTCAGTGCTTCTAGCCTAGAGTGTCACAATGGAAAAGTAAGAAGGGTTACAAATTCCTTGAACTGCTTTTTCAACATTGTGGCTTCAGTCCAGTCTGGGGCTATATGTGGTGATCAAAAACGATTTACAAATGCTTCCAGCAAAAACTAGTTGACTATGACGTCCTGAAACCGCTCCCTTCCGGAGGATTTATTCGAATATGAGATCTGAGCTGGCGTGTTGGAAAAACATGCCTCACAGTCAATGATGATTAATGATAGCAACGATTACATTCTGAAGATACAGCGCTCAGGAAATCATTCTTTCAACTTTGCCGAGTTCATTGACCATCCTTGGAGCTGTTCCCTGTTGATGAGAGACCGGTATACCACCATAGCACTGCCTCCATTCACCGAAAATTGGGTGTTTCGAATAGTTGTGTAGCCCAAACCCATTGCTTTCCCTTTAATTCCCATTGCTTTCCCTTTAATTCCATGAGACCATACCAGCACATTGGATTTTTTTGTTTGTCACCCCATTTTTTTTTGGTTTCCCTTCCCAGGGTTCACCCAGTGGCCATTTTTCATACCCGCACCTTTCGTCAGCTTGGCCCAGTCGTGTTCGTCCAAGGCCGTCCACGAACTGCGTCGCGCGTGCTCGTCGTCCTCGTAGTCGCTGAAGTCGTCGATGGCCAGCTCTGGAACCTGACGCCACGCCGGGCACTGGCGACCCGGGGGAGGGGGATGGAACAATGGGCATAGCTTGGGATACCAACAAAAATGGAAAGAGTTGGGGGGAATTTGTATACATCTAGTGGGAAATTGAGATCTCAAAAGCTGCAAGATGCATTAGAATGTATCAGATTTGATACTTCTGGGATGTTATGATTCTGGGGACCTGAAATCAACAACATATTCATGAATATTGGGATATTAGACCAGGGAATTTGTTTAAGAATACAATTTGATAGTGGGAATGTGGATAGCCGAAGTGCGGAGATTTCACAAGTTGAACACAGGAGACTTGGAGACCCAAAACAGCCCACCTTTACGAAAAATGTGTCGCAGCAAACAGTATTATACGTATCCTCAAGGGGATCTATCTGTAGATGCAAACTCGTCAGAGGTGTGAAGTGGAGAAGGAAAGCATGGAGACCTGTTTGCAGAGATATCAGCCTCTTGCAATAGTCTTACTCTCTCAGTGCAACATGACAAATGTCTGACAGCTCTGACTCATCTAATGCACCTTTCTTTTTCCACAGCTTCACAGTTCACCGCAGTTCATCATCTGAAGGCAGATCATACTGACGGTTTGAGGTTATACTTATTACATCTCTTGAACTTCAAGGGTGTTTCAGACTGTGACGCTGGCCGATGTTTTTCTGCCTTCTATCATCTACGAATGTCTACTCAAAGTGACTAGATCCTTGCCGTCATCTTGACGGGAAAACATAATGGCACTGTCTTATTCAAACGCAGCTGTCAGGAATGTGCACCCAACCAAGCAATGACTTCCTGAACCTCAGGCAATGCAACACTGCAAAGGAGGTGTTTGATGACATCGGTAAGATGCCTCTATAGTGGCCCTGAGTTTCCATAGAAACAGGAAACCAGATTGAAATAATTGAAATGGCAGTGAGACATAGTGACACCTATTTCCAATCTCTACATTCTTTGAGACACTATGTGTTTGTCTCTATCCCAACTTTCTATCCAATGTCAGTCGAGACCGCGCAGGGACGTTCTAGAAATCGACAAAATTTACGGGCTGATGGGTCTGACATGTGCGGGCTGATCCAAAAACACAAGGCCTAAATTGTTTCTGCCACTCTTAAGTAAAATTGGGAATACCCGGAATACCATTCAACCCCCACAAATAGTCAAGTTAAAAGGGAGATAATCTAGTGGATTGGGGGTACCCTATATTCAGACAAACCCAGTAGAATTTGAACATCCAATGGATTGGGCTTTCTAAATCTTGACCGATCGCAGTTGTGTTGGAGCCCGAGTCCCGCGCTGCTTGTCGAGTGATGTCCGCTTTGTCCTGGACATCGAACCATCCCCAGGAACGATCGCAAATCGAGATGGGCTTTGGCCGCGTTTGGGTTGTAACTTTGACCCCACAGTCCGTACCTATTCCTTTTTTGGGGTGATGTTTGACATCCTTGACATGAACGCTTGAGGTTCTACAAATAGAGTAACCCCAACATGGATTGGTGTCTGTTCCCGTCACCCCAAATCGGCCCAAATCAGCGAATGAGACACCATGCCCCAGTTCCACAATATCTTGCGTTGGGTCGTTCGCAAAGGATAGTGGCGTAGCATTTTGAAGCTGCTTTTTCCATCAACATTTATCCACATTTATCCACATTTATAGCATTTTAGGATACAATGTGTAGCTAAGCTGATCATCTAATCATTTATCATCTGAAAATCATGGAATTTCCGCTTCTTCATGATCTTCGTCCTGAAAGAGCTGATGGCAGGCTCCAGGGATGACCTTCAATTGCCTCAGCGTCATCATCTGGGATAGATCTGTCTCTGGATATCACAATTGGATACAACAGCCATATGAATGCTATATGAATGCTATATGATGCTATCGGCTTCCAAGATTCGGAGAATTTGGAGCGGTAATCAAAATCTAAACAACAATGAGTTTTTTTGAGCTGGTGAAGTTGGAATTCGAGGCCAAAAGCTTCAACCTGAGCGGAAGAATCTTCTATCCATGTGGCTGACGAAAATCAATTCACCAACCTGAAATAAAATGATTTGGTCATTGGGGGTGATATTTCTTATATTTGCAGGTATGTACTATGATCTGCAGTCACGTCAGCCTGTCCTTGTCGCTCATGCGGATTGATGCTTCATTGTCCATCATTGATTGCGTTTATCAGCATTCTAGTTGGCCAACAAAACTTGTTGTTGGCTATACAATTTAATCGTATTATATATCCACAGTAGATAACATTTCCAAAAACATAGAACAGTAAAATCCTACTAGTGATAACGTCCTTGTCATCTCTTTGGGGGATATTATTGATACCATGTATGATATTATACATTCGTATTAGACCCCAAAAAAATACACCAATTCCAATTCCATCCAGATTTCCTCATATTTTTGATGCTTTCATTTCCATATTTTTAATGGTTAAATTTCCATGTGCGGCTGACTTTTAGTTGGCTAAGCAAGAGATCGGGTGTCGCACTTATCTATGGATCCAGCCGCCAAATAAAACTCGAAAATTGCACCCACGTCCACCTCACGTGGTTCCACAGTGCACAGGTTGATCGAAGATGTCACATGTTTTTTAGTTGCAACATGTTTTGAAAGCATCCAAATCATTGTGTCGACTAATTGGGATCATCTTCCCATTTTCAGAATCGAACATTTTTTTAAAAATAAACCACCAATCAGCTTGTAACTCTGAACATGTCAGAAGGGCATGGCAATTTGAAATCTCCTGTTGGAGGTCATCAAATAACTTCGGCAGGTGCAAGTTCTCAGCACCAAACACGTTGCTCCTTTTCACCTCAGCATTCCAACATCATCCAACATCCAACTAATCTTGGGATATATGAGGGTTTCCCAACATCGGGGTACCCCAAAATGGAAAATCCTAATGAATGATTTGGGGGTACCCCTTTCTAGGAAACCCTAGAATTTGATCTCATGAGTCCAATTCATGCCCAGTTCAATCCCAATCTGAAATCTCAGGTTTGTCAGTGACATCCCCATCAGCTGCGGGCCAACAATAATGGCCAGCGGGGACTTCAGCAACCGCTGCCTCAGAGGTGGACCCCCGAGAGGTGCTCCTCCCTGGTGTGCCATGGCCATGGCACTTGGAGGGGTCGTTCACGAAATCCACGGCATTCAAGGTTTCCGCTCCAGTCCTCGAGGCCCAAACATTAAAAAAAGATCCAAGTTAGGAACCCAAGTCAATTTGTATCTATTAATCTATCTATCTATCTGTCTGTCTATCTGTCTGTCTATCTGTCTGTCTATCTATCTATCTATCTATCTATCTGTCTCTCTATCTGTCTATCTATCTATCTACCTATCTACCTATCTATCTATCGATCTATCGATCTATCGATCTATCTATCTATCTATCTATCCGTCTATCTGTCTATCTGTCTATTTGTCTATCTGTCTATCTTTCTATCTAATCTATCTCTCTCTCTCTCTATCTAATCTAATCAAATCTAATCAAATCAAATCAAATCAAATCAAATCTATCTATCCATCCATCTATCTATCTATCTATCTAATCTCTCTCTCTATCTAATCTAATCTAATCTAATCCAATCCAATCTAATTATCTATCTATATACGTATGTATATATATGCATACATGTATCAACATGTATCAACACTATACCCGCAGTATTGGTGGATCCCCGTCTTGGTGGTGGCTTTCCCCACAAAACCAGTGACCTGCAACATGGAGGCCATGGAGGTACGGCTCAGCCGGCTCAGCCAAGAAACCTCACGTGAAACTTCGCGTCCAACACTCGACGTACGATGGGATCTGCCTGGAAGAATAGCTGGATGGCAGTGGATGGAATTTCAACATATTCTGTAGATGTGTATACCGTATAACTATCCAGAAATCAACTTCGTGAACCGCCTCTTCCAACTTCGTATAATTCCATCCACTCGATTTCCTTTTACTTCGATCTTGCCGTGATAACTCCTTCTCTTGCACATGAGTCACATGGCTATGCCTCAAACAAATACAAAAGGAACAGCGATGCCGTGGTCATTTCTCGCATGGCACCACGAGAAATTGCATGAAATTGCAGATGGTCCTATATACCTCCCCGAGCATATTACTAGTGTTACTAGTCATTAATCGTCATCCCGACATGGAAAAGTAGCAATTGAAACTGACAGTGGATAACTGGGACGTCGTTTAGCGAGGGTGGCCTGACCAGATGTAAAAAATGCCAAAAAACACATAGCTTTCGTGGTTTCCCCATGTTTCCCCCTTGAAAACGTTTCTTAAATCCCATCATTGCATACCCCAAGCCCCTTGTTGACCTGCACTTTTCAGATCTGCCATGTCTTCCCACTTGAGGATCCCAATTCAGACATTTTAAAAAATCCATGAAGATCACATGCCCCAAACAAGCGATCTTCAAATGGAACGAGGGTAAACTACTTGAGATTCCTGGATGCTTCCCCACCTTCCCGGCGGCTGCCCAGCGTGGCTCGCCGAAGGCTGCATCAAAGGTGGAAACCACGTCCACCCCAGGCAGCGGCAGCCGTGGGAAGAAGTGTGACCTGCGTCTGGGATTTTGGGTCAAAACTATGGGGAATCTATGGGAATATACACCCTATGGAGAACCTGGAGAATGTCTGATGATGGGATAAACATGGATGAATTTTGAGGCATCACTGGATGGTGCTGCAAAAAATGGAGGTACAGTATCACCATCACTTTACAGTCATACCGAGTCATACCTACATAACTTGACGGGAACAGGAAAGGTAGGCCAAGATGGAAAGTGGGAGATGTGGAAGATGTGAAACTCTTCGGGATCAAGTGGAGGCCCACAGCTCACATGGGAGGGGGCAGGGCTCGAAAAATTGAAGCAATTGTTCTCTCTGCTGTGGTTGGCTGACGGAGAAAGACCGGACAGATGCCAAACACGGCTATTTGCAGCATGTTTCAAGAGTTGAACGTGAGCAAATTGATGACCTTCCTTCGTACAAATGAAAGGCAATGCCGCGCGAGTACAACTCAAGGTAGCCCTGCAGCTACCTTTCGTGATATATCCCAATTCGGCCATTTGGATGTAGGATAAACCTTCAAAATGCTGAGTCGGTAACCATCATCTCACCATCTCACTGAGCACCATTTCCTGGAGTTCCAAGGACTCGGTATCTGAGGAGCGGGCAAGACTTTGAAGATGCCAACCTGATTCGCCATCTGTTGGAAGATTGCAAATTATTGCAAGAGATCTGGCTGAAATTCATCAGAATGCACCTAATAAAAGTATGGTGCCATGGATAGTCACCCCAATCCTAGCTATATTCACACATCTTCACATATCTTCACATATATATATATATATCAATATGTATATCATATTATATAGGCATATGTAGATATATGTATATTAAGCATCATTCCAGTGACGTCACCTGCCACATCAACGCAGTTCCAGCCGGGAGCCCCAGCCACACATGGAGGTGGAATCCTTGGTTTCCGAAAAATGGGGAGATGGGGAGAGCATCCGATGTGCCACTCAGCTGTTCTTCGAGCCGATGGCCACTTTGGTGGGGACCCAATTTCGACACATAGCATTGATCCCTGACTTTTCGGTTCCAATATTTCCAATATGCCATTTAATTCAAATTGAAACACCCTGAACCATTGCTTTCCCCAAAAAACCTCGCACATGTCAATCTTAGGGCCCGTTTCAAGACAGCCCCATATCCCCAGCCAAGAGTCATCTCCCGCTTCACTTTCCTTAACTGCAACTGCGAAGCATGACAAGGGAACAACAACGTAGAAAGTTCACCGAAAAGGTGATTGAACCATTCAATATATAATTCAGTATAGGGATTCAACATGATATACCCTCTGGTAATTTAACATAACTATTGAAAATCACAATTTTTAATGGGAAAATTCACTATAAATGGTGATTTTCCATAGCTATGTTAGTTTACCAGAGGGTAGCATGATTTAACCTTCAAAACAGGAGATTCAGCCATGAATTGGGATTCACCAAAGATGGGTAGAGCCACAACAACGGATGGCATACTCTTGGTGACTCCTTCATCGTGGACGACAAACTGATCGCTTGGATCATTATCTAACCCTGCTTTGGAACACGTCCAACTGGGGCAGCCCTCCAGTTCCTCTGAAACCCAAATTTCTATAGTGAAATCATGTGAAATCCCAATCAATCCACATTTCTGTTGGTTAAATCCCATTTAATCCCATTATATATATATATATCATAAATCCCAGTAAATAGCAATTGTTGCTAGTCGATTGAGTCTCTTCATGGATTGCCACCAAGCCACACCACTGGACCACAAAGGATATAGCCAGATGTAGGCGACGAGGGTAAGGATTCTGCAGCCCTGAGGGGAAAATCTCAACATCTTCAGGTCTCGGTGATTTTTTCGGTTCAATTATGTTCAATTGCCAAGTTCGCTGCGACATGATCTCAACAACTTCTGTCAACTTGCTCAGGATAAGACTGGTCCTCTATGCAAGCGAAATATCTGGATATGGACGAAACCAATGACTCATTGACCCTCAAAAAATAATGGTGTTGATCAAACGTGACGACTCATAGCGGATTGCCCCAAGCAACCCCGCCGACCAATGCCATGTCGAAGTGCCAGCAGGGCTCCAGCAGATTCCCCTAAGATGAAGAGTTTGCACCTCGGAGACCCCAAATTAAGGTGTGAATTTGGGGCTGCGCAATTTTTCAGCCAGTGTCATGATGTGAACATATCCAAATGTAGCTTTTTCGGATGGTGGCTTCAACTTGTCTGACAAAACATCGTTGTGATCGTCATCCCAAATGGGGCTGCAAAATGCTGCAAAAATAATTTTGAAGCCACCAGGAAGCAAAAGAAAAACGAATGCCAAATGATGAAGAATTACATCCTCAACACACCTGCTGGGACCATTCGATTCATCAGTGGGGTTCACTCGAAAACCGATTCAGGGCCATGGAATAATCTGGAGGCCCATGGGACATGTGGGAAACCAAACAACCATCCCCAATTACGACCGTATCAACCATTTGGGGCTACTAAATCATCCCAAATCGCGGTGTGCCCGGTATGCCCGATAGTAACTGGACCCGTGGCACTTGGCTTTCGCGCTTAGGGTAGCGCAGGTGCTCCTGAGAACCAAGGACGTGCTTGGAATATCTTGGAATGGGAATCAACCAGTTGAAAAGGGACATCTGAATGAACTAAGATGAACTAAGATACTGAAAAACTTCAGCAACATGAAAGGTGAGGTGAGGGTGGTGCCCCCTCATCACAATTTATGAAATTTATGGATATTTATGGCATCTCACCATGAGGTCCTTACAATTTACCCAGCAGAATTTCCTCCTCAGCTCTCTTTTGCAGGTCGTCCACCACGAAGCTGTAGCGCTCGATGTATCCGGGATCGCCCTGGGAATATCCACAGCCCACCTCAAACGACATCGACAAAGTGCGAAAAAACTGCGCAACTGTGGGGTACAACATGGATCTATAGTATCTATAGTATCTATAGTATCTATAGTATCTATAGTATCTATAGTTGGTACAACCCTACTTACAAGTCCTGCTGAGCGCTTTAAGTACTAAAGTTTGTACCATGAGACATCAAATTGAATCAAATGATGCACCTGATCGTAAGCCACTGCAGTGTAGCCGGCCCTTTTCAAGGCTTGACCAAGGATGTCGAAATAGCCACTGTGCCTCAGATTGGGTTGGTTTCCCTGGGTGGGTCGAAACAACCAAGGGACAAAATCCAAAGGACTGCATGCTGAATTGCTTTGCATCGTCAAAACATAGGTACTCGAAGATTTCACTCGAAGCAATTCTGGGGTTGGTTGTATCATTGTTTCAATTACAAAGGGACCATGTTTGGGAAGAGATAACATGACATGCGATGACACCGGCCAGGAGTGTGCAAGATTTGTTGAGGCGAAACAGGACAAATTGGACCGTGCCCCTAGCGAAAATGTGGATATACCTTTGGCGGAAGTTTCCGTTGTGCTCAGAATCTTAGCAAACATCCGCACCTGACCTCTATCTTATTGCACGCCATGATAGGACACAACCCACTCGAAGAATCCAAGTACCCTCTGGTAAACTAACATAGCTATGGAAAGATCCACCATTTTTCATGGGAAAATCCACTATAAATCACCATTTTCAATAGCTATTTTGACATAACCAGAGGGTAAACTCATTGAAATTCATCATCCAGCTGCTGTTTTTTGGTCTCACTGAAAAGATGGTGGCACTCCACGGGGACCTGGGGGCCAAGCTAACCGGCACCGCCGTGCAGGATGAGAACTACCGCTTTAGGAGCCTGGAAAACAGCCATGAAAGTCCAGAGGGCCGAATCATCCCAGGATGGAAAATAGCAAAATCATGTATAATATGTATATATATATAAATATTATATGTATGTATATATATATAATTATAATTATAACATAACCTAACAGAACATAGAACAAAATAACATACATTAATTATGCATATGTACGTACATTACATCACATTACATTTTATGTTATTACGTTACATGTCATGACACGACACGATATTACATTACACTAGATTACACTACACTAGATTACATTACATTAACATTGCATTGCATGCAATCACATTACATCCTTTTTTTACCACTCAAGATTTGTTTACCCAGCCCTAGTTGCAACTGTAACAGGCACAGGAGTTTCGCAGGTGTCCAATCCCTTGCTTTTTGTCAGTGGCTTCACAGGTTTGAGGAAGGCCAGCGACTTACTGCTTGCTTTCCCCTGACAGAATCAGCACAACAATGTGGGTGGGTAAAACAATAAAAAACCACCCATTTGGGAATGGTAAACATACATAAACATACCACCTATAAACGTGGTGATTTGGGGGATGGTTCATGACATTGTTTTACCCACATTAGTTCAAACATGTTCAACATGATATAGATTTCAAACTATCATAAACTCCCAACCAGAGGATCTTCTCAAATCCCCAAGTCTCAGTGGTGAATTTCCCCGCAGAAACTGGACAAATCATCCCAGCAACATCAGGTATCATTGGGACTTGTCGCCGAACTGAGACTTTACTTTGCCTGAACAGTAAAGTAATTACCCCAAACTCCCATGATTTATCCATTCTTTATCATCATGTTTCCCAGTTTTTTTCCAATCAAAAAACATATTTTCTTTGGTCAGCCTGTCCTTCCCTGGTCCCCGCCTGCGTTTCCCAACGCCGCACGGCCAGTCTCGATCCACGGCTGCTCTCCGCCCATTCACTGGGTGGGCCCAAGGAAGTGAAGGACATGAGGCTACCAATTCCAACGGATCATGGATTATGGATGATCCCTAGCTACAAATGGCCTACAAATGGGGGGTGGAAACCACCATTGAAAGACTGGATATTGGTTGGAATAAATCTAAATGACTGGTCTTGAAGGTTTTGTGAACTGTGTATCGAATGAAAAACGTGAAAACATGGATTCTCTTGCAACTATTGATTCTTTTATTTCCATCAAATTGTCGCACATGTTGATTGTGTTGGTGAACTACACAATATCATCCACATCGCGTTTTGTGGTTGTTTTGTCGCATTTAATATCATTTACAGTGATCGGGGCAACTTGTGTTCGATCTTGCACTTAAACTTCCATTCTCGTCTTTTTCCACGGAGTGATAAAAAGCAAAGGCTGCGCCAGAGGTGGGGCGCGAAAGATTTGGAATGGCTGTTGATTCATGTGCTTGGAGTTACTCCAAAGGATAGCCCTATCATCAAACCTCCAAGAGAAAAAAGAGAACCAAAACCTGATTCTTCTCGACTGGACATGACCTGATGTTGATCATTATCCCATGGTTGAGCCAGTTTTCAAACATCGCTTTTCGCGCCTCAACAGTTTCCGGCTCAGCAACGCCTGCAACTACGATGTGGAGAGTGTGATGATAGTGTGATGAGACCAGCAAATCAGCCCGGAATGTGTAGCCAGCAGTTATCCTGCAGCAGATTGACACAGATATGGAAAACCCACCATTTGTAGATAATTGAAACCATGTTTTTTTCCATATCCATGTTAGGTTACTGGACGACATTTGACAAATTGCAATTAAAGCAGTTCCGCCAGTTCCGCTCTCCCTCATGTGGAGCGCAAAGTACTTAGCAACTTGCCATACGATGTCGACATACTTTAGAGGGAATATTATGAGGTGAGACCCAAATTTATGAAAAAAATACTGAGATACCATGACATGATATGTTACGATGTGATTTGGGGATATGATTTCAGGGAATTTTCGCTCTGGGTGTTGTCCATCCCAGTAACTTGTGCCCAAATGATCATCAACTTACTGGAAGATGATTTTGGGGTCGCATCTTAAGACATCAATCACCGGGTACTCAATTAGAATGGCCACAGCTGGGGGATATACCCCCTTTTTCAGACAAACCCACATATCATCTGGTTGGCTCTAGATCCCATGAATATCTCATTCCATTGTATATCTCCACTGTAGCCCATATTTGATGTCAGGTGGGACTTCCCATCATTCACCAATCATTTCACCAATGGATTTTACTGCAGCACCTGGCTGCAAGTCTTTCCAATCTGCATCGAACCGATCCACGATGGAGGACCTGAAATTCAAAAAATGCCGCATGAGATCATTCGATTTTCGATTGGAACAAAAGGCATGGATATGTTCCCGAAACTTTCCCTGCCAATCCATTGATTCTGATCAAAATATATCAAAATCAGTGGCTAGTAGTGGCTAGAACACTATAGATCCCTAGATCAATCGATTCGGATTGTGTGATATAATGCTAATCCAATGTAGTTATGATGGCCGTAACTCTATAGACCCTATCTCCTATCGCCCATCCAAATGGGAGATTCACTTGTCAAAGGTGGTTTGTTTAATGATTGCTGGATATCCTAAACTCGACACGTTCCTCAAAAGGGAGAAAGCATTGTCAGCCCTGCACGCACTGCTTTCTCTTTTACATCCATTGGGTCAAGTCTTGCTCTCTGACAAGAGGTCAGAGGTGCCAGGGCAGCTTGACCCAAAATGGCGCCACGTGTCTTTCGTTACTAGACATCCATGTTAGTACCTTCTACAAGTATCGGCACAAAAGCATGTATTGCTGTGAGGCAAAAGGATGTTTAGCTACTGGCTGCACTGTTTGGAAAACATCCTAAACGTAAAATGGTGCAAAGTTCTGCTTAATTTGATGCAACAATTTCTACCCTGAAATGTAGTCAAAACATCATCCGCAAAGTGTGGTAGCAGCAGCGTTCCAGCAGCTCGAGGTACACTTTTTTCGGCCACGAACAGTGCTGCAGCGGCGGTAAAAATCCGATCGGTGGTTTCAATTATATAAGTCGTGGGGATCATCCAAATTTGAACCGCCAATGACATGGGTGAAAATTCAAAACACAAACTACCATTTGTTTATTTAACATAGCCATGGAAAATGGACCATTTATAGATGATTTTCCCATTAAAACCTCCATTTATAAGGGATTTTCCATGGCTATGTTAAATAACCAGATGGTAAATATGCTTCAACCAGATTATCATAGTTGAACCATTGAACAAAAGGAAACCACCTACTGGGTGCCGATTCATGCCTTCACTTCCATCTGGTTATTTGCTGGACCTTCGACAACAATTTGGTTGGGGATCCCATACCTACTACTGTTGTGGGGGAAGATCCGCACAGTGGTGACCCATAGTGGTATTGTTTCAAGTTTGGGTTTGCTCATGCTGCAATTATGTTTGCGAAAATCTTGTACGGGACAATCCAGAAATAGTAATTCTATGTAATTATAGTGAATCATTCTTCGCTGCAAAGAAACATATCAATATCATTGAACATATTTATCAATATTTATCCGCTAAATCTGCTGTTTTACTATAGTAGCCCAAAAAAAAGGGCAAAAAGTTGAACACCGGACACCTGCCTCCGCCAATTCCCATGCCGCCGTGGCAGCACTTCTGGCGGCCGCACTCAGCAGCAAGCGACGATGAGATGCATCGGCAACCAGGTACTGGGCCAACTGCCAGGGAGATGCTGTGATCACCTGGGAAAATCATGGGATGTTCATGCAACATTTTTGGGCAAAATAGGAAACACATAGGAGAAACATAGGAAAATTAGGGTAAACCATTATGTATGAATGTCGATTTTTGATGGGTAAATCTAATAATAAATAATAATGGAATTGTTGCATAGCTGGCGGAAACATGTTTTTTCTCCGCAAGATCATTTCCTTGGGGATTGAATCTCCACCGCTTGGTGGTTTCAACCCACTTGATCTGGGCCATGACCCCCATTCCATATCATGGTGTGAAACCCTCCATTTCGAAATAGCCCCATATCATCAGCTAACCTGCCACCGCTTTTGATCCATGCCCATATATCTATCATGAAAAAATCATGTCCATCTCCGTTGTAAAGTCCTATCCATATCGATATTCATAGGAATATATATATATATTAAACTAATGTATATATATATCATATATCCAACATCATCATCATCATCACCATCACCATCATCATCATCATCATCATTGAATTCAATGTGTTTTTTTCCATCTCCATCTCTGAAAACAAACGAGTAGCCGTGGTGTAGGTGATGCTATCCGCCTCCAAATTCGCCATCTCCAAGTGAGCAATGAGCTCTAAGGCCTGAAAAAAACGCAGGTGTTGTTGGGAACTTGTATATTAGATGTGTAGAATATCATAGAATATCTATTTGATTCTATCTGTATTAATATTGGCAGGATCGTCAATTATCTGGTTCTGGATCCAAGCTCATACCTCAAAAATGGTACAACTCAGGGGTTGCTAAATGTCCTAGTTAAACATCAGTAAAGGTATATCATCTACAACAAATGCTTGAAGGTGACAGGAAACAAATCCGCCAGAAGTGACATTTACCCTAGGGTAAACTAACATAGACATTGACATGGATCACCCATGCTTTCCAAAGGAAATGATCAGTCAACAGGAGGGTACCACTGCAAGACCTGGGAAAAACCAAACTTTCCAGTCGATGACCATGGCCTCTTGCCACCTCTTCGCCTTGGCACAAGCACTGATGACAGCATTGAAGGTGATCCTGGGCAAAAGTGACATTGGAGCCCAAAAATGGGATGCTATGGGGATATGGAGGTTTCCTAAAATGGGGGGACCCCTAGTTTTCATCAATTTTAAAAGGATTGTCCATTCTCTTCCATCCAGCTATTGGGGTACCCCCATGTATGGAACCCCCCATATAGCCAACCAAATTGGGTAGTAAGCCGACAAAAATGATTCGTGGCGCAGATGGGGGCAACCCATGGGATACCTTTTTATCCTTTTTGTTGATAGACCCAAATGGGGGTACAACCCGCAAACGTCAGAGTACTACAAAAAAATATGTAATTCTCATGTGTCCCAAAAATTGGAACCCCAAATGCAATCCTTTTTCATGATTTATTTCAGTATGGCAAGAAAGGAGCAATGAGTTGAGGCCCGAAGCACTGACCATTCCACGGCTGGCAGAGGGGCAAATCTGGTGCAACCTCTTCAACTTGCATCTCTCTCAGTATGTCCAAAGCAGCTCTCCAATCCATGCTGTTCCTTGGTGATGTCAAGCTGGCGACTTCCCGGAAAATGTGGGTGAAAACAACATAAAACACGATTTTCCAACATGTCCCCTTCATTGGTGGGTTTTCCCCAGCATTTTCACATGGTTGAAAACCTCATCTTCGCCGTCAAAACAGCCGGAAATGCCAGGATTCTCCATGGCAGAAAGCGCTGATGTGTAGGTGATGACCTCGCATCGAAAGATCCTGAAAGAAAGATACTGTAGGATATATATATATATAATTCATAATATATATATATATACACTAAATATTATATATGGGGGTCTAAATCCACAAAGAAGACTGCTTGAAAAACCGTAAAACATTAGATTGTGGCCACCGATGAAACCACCAACACAATAATGGTGCTATAATGGTGTCATTGTTTCTGGGAAATCCTTGTGATTGCTTAGGCTTAGCATTCTTATTTTATCGGCGTTACATCATGGTAAATCCCCACTCTTTCGTGGGGCCAAGGCACATCCAACTCCATCGACATCTTCTTCATATCACCAAACAGTTGCAGCGCTTGCTGTTCGGACTGTTCACCTCCACAGAAGAGATCAACTGATATGGGAGGTACATGGAGGTATTACAAAAGCCACAATACTGTTTCTGAATCATGGTACCCATCAACAAAACCTGGGCTGTAGCTGGCATTGAATCACATCACTTATAGTTTGCAGAAACTAAACACAAGATCCAGATGCTGCATGTACTTGAAAGTGTCTGGGATTCCCATGAACTAAACTGCCCAATTGGACGGATTTTATTTTCTGCATCAAGTGACATGCGCTGATGGCTGCGTTGTAGGTGATCATGTCCACTTCGATATGCTTCGCTTCTGCATCATGCATCAATTGCAAGGCCTGTGACTGTGGAAACACTGGATGCAGCGATTCCAGGGGATTCCGTTACCAAAAACAAAGCCTCTTTTAAACGGTCCAAGCCCTTAGATCAAATGTAGACACAATTCGAAACCAGTGGAAAGGTTTCCTAAAATGCTGCTGGGCCAGTTTTCATGGCATTTAAGACCATTTAAGTATGATTTTCCATTTCATAAACCATCCATAACCATCCAGCTATTGGGGTATAGCCATTGATGGAAACCCCCCATTGATTGCCCCGACCTCTTGCCATCGGTCTGACTTCTGACAGGCGCTGATGGTCGCATTGTAAGTGATGACTCCAGGTTCTAAACCTTGGTGCAGCCCACCGTCCGTGGATCGAAAAAAAATCCAGGGTCTCAGGCAGCGACGTCCAGTCTCCAAAAGCATCAGCAAACGTACAGCCAGTTGCCATTGAGCACCCTGCCGGATCGGCGGATCGACAAGGATCGACACCGAAGAATCGTGACATGTGACATGTGGAATCCACATAAGTTTGGACCCAGAAACTCCAGAAACCCCATAGGAGTTCCTATCAAAATGGTTCCAAGGCTGAGCCATTCCCCCGGAAATTGGATGGGTCAATTCCTACGTTTGATCACCCAATCTCCAACATTGATTCAAAGCAGGTGGCTTCAGCTGGAGGATCATTATATATCATTATCCCATATATGTAGTATCATGTATTATCCCTCATATGGTGAATAATCCTATCATATTATATATCTATATGGTGAATATTCCAGATGAATATTATCCAATCAGATTATTGTATATATATAATATAACATATGATATATCCAATATAATATAATATAATATAATATACTATAATATAATATAATATAATCTAATATAATATAATATAATATAATATAATATAATATAATCTATCATATAAAAATAACATGTAATATAGTATATATAATATAGTATATATAATATTGTATATAATATAACATATAATATTATATATATGTATTATCCCATCTTTTTTTCTGGAGATCAATCCCCCCAAGTCTCGGAAATTCGATCCTTCTCCAAAGCGCTGATGGCTGCGCTGTATGTCACCACGTTTTGGCCCACGGCGCCAAAGTGCTGGAAGAGGTTTAGGGCATGGGCCCATTCCTCGGAAACATGAAAGCCATGGGGATTTTGGTGCTGGAAATCGAAGATGGAAAGAAAATGAAACAAGAATTTCAAGATCTGAACTTCTTGTGCAGGTTTGGTATCCATAACTTTTTAACTGCATGTATATATATATATATGTGTGTGAGTGAGTGAGTGAGTGAGTGAGTGAGTGAATGAATGAATGAATGAATGAATGAATGCATGAATGCATTAATGCATTGCATGAATGCATGTATGCATGTATGCATGAATGCATGAATGCATGTATGCATGTATGCATGTATGCATGTATGCATGTATGCATGCAAAATGCTATTGAAAACCTCAACTCGTTTGTCCCAGCTTCGAAACCCTTCTCGCAGGAAGAGATGCTTGCACCCACGGTGACGATGTTTGGCTCCATTGCAATCCTGGGATGTCCGAAAAGATCTGGGGAAAACAGCAGAGTTCTTACAGGTCATGGAGTTTCTACAGGCCAGAGTCATGGAAAGAGCACAGAATATCACAGAAACTCTATGATTTATAAGACAATATATATATATATGTCATGCAAACCCAATAGTTGGGGATAAAACCACAAATGTGAGAATCCTTTTGGAGTGGAGCAGTCCTGAAAAAAAGGCACTGGAACATTTTGGGAGTAGATTGGGGACGAATTCCCAGAGGATTCTGGATTCGAAAAATCGACCCACCTTTCACCCAGTTTCCTCTGAACTTTGGACATCAGTTCCAGTGCTCTCAACCATGCCTTTTCGCTGACGCTGATGCCTGCATTGTAACCTCGCACGTCAGTGCAGAATCAGCCAGCTTGGCATTGGGTATCGCCGGTGTAGCCCAACAAACAACCAGCATTGGAAATCATTGAGGCGTTTTGGTCAACGATGCATCTGACATGTCAGACCTCCGCCGTGTCTCTTGAAGTTTGGCTTCAGATGATGGAGCATGCATTGGTCAGCTGGATCCTATTAGGTGGCAGCGACTTTTATTCATGTTGGAATGAAGATCCGCTTGCTAAAGCTTGAATAAGAGTGGTTGTCACCTAATATCTAATAAATCTTAATAATAACCTTTATGGGAATAGCATCTTGAATATTGCTGTAGCAAACGAAATAGTTGGAATAGCATCTTGTTTATTAACTGTTTCTACGTATAGCAAAAACAACGTATAGCTACAAACAACAAACTGGTCTATTGGGCTGTCTAAAAACTGGGATACCCTTCAAAAGGTTTTTCTTCAAAGCGACACATATCATAAACCAAGGATATCTTCATAAGTGCAATGTTCCAACCCCATGTTGGTTGATAATTATATGGGATTATACTAACATGTAATTGGGGATATGGGTCTGTCTGAAAATAGTGTACGCCTCAATCCAGTGGTTTATCATCATCTTCACCTCATTTTCAGACACATCCATGTCATAATCCATGATGGGAATCCCTATTAATCAGGATAGCCTCACCGAGACGCCGGAACCAGCATCGACCAGTTTGCTGGAACCGATTTCGGAACCAGTCATGTATTTATCCAATTTCATTCACTGAAAGAGATGAGCACCTTTGCTACATCTTTGTTCGAAACTGACGTTGTAAAATCAATGGGAATTCCAGGATCCTAAAATGGAGGTACTGTACCATATAAGGCCATATTTTGGGGGTATATCCCCTTACACTGCCCTTACATAGGCCTGATATCCTGAAATGGCCATTGATAAAACATTGCGATCAATTTCTGATGAAGGTATCAATGTTCGAAATCTTCCACGACAGTGCTCAACAAGCAGAAACCAAGTTTTTTTCGTTTGAAGACGCCATCTCCAAGCCGTGGCACACGTTGTAAAATGCAAGGAAAGCCTCCAAAAGTTCCAAAAAGGTGGTTGAACTCCACACCCAACTGCTCTCAGTCAACCCACAAAAAGGCAAGCAAAGACTCCAAAGTACTTCAGAGGAAGGTGAACTTCCCATCCACTGCTACCTACTGCTATTACTATTACTATTACTATTACTCCTACTGCTGCTGCTGCTGCTGCGGCTGCTGCTGCTGCGGCTGCTGCTGCTGCTGCTACTGACGACGACGACGACGACGACGACGACGACGACTACTACTACTACTACTAGTACTACTACTGCTATGACTACTACTGCTATGACTACTACTCCTCCTCCTCCTACTCCAAACAAGGAAAAAAAACAAAAACATCCGAACCTTCTCCCTACTGCTACAAGGAGTTCTACCCTCTTTTCAGTCACTCCGAACCGAACCGATTCCTAATTAGGAACTGAACCAATCCGAACCGAATCCTTCCTGATTAATAAGGACAATCATTAAAAAAATATTGTAATTACCATCATTAATCATGAATCAGTAATATTAACCATCAGTGCGCCAACTTGGATACAATCCCAGGAGCTCACGATCATCGCTTCCAGCTGTGACATTTCCAGATGCTGCAATAGCTGTGTGGCATATGGCCATTGATCTGTGCTGCTGATGGCCGCGTCGTAGCTGATGATGTCCTGATGGATCAATCGGATCTTTTTCACCATCAGCAGCCTCGTCATTTGCATTTCCGGAACCTTGTTTTTGCTGGCATTTAAGCTGCCAATGGAAAGTGCCCAATGATGGTTTACCCTCATTTCTAGGAGATCTCAATTGTCCCCCATGACCTATCCTGATTTATCATTATTCCGAATCATCCCATTCTGAAATATTCAATGGCCATAAATTGGCACAAGTTGGTGGTAAGAGTCAGTAAGAGTCCAGAATTTCAGACCCAATTTTCCAGGAAAACAGTTGGGCAAACGCTTCCTGCTGCTGTGCTCGAGCAAGTCCAGTTGCCAGGAATTCCAGGGCTTGCGGCCAGCTCTTGGCTTTGGCCATGGCACTGAGGGCACTGTTGGACCTGGGCAATTGTCATTTTGGAGCAGCTGCAGCTGCTCTATCATACTGTTGGATCTCATTTTGTATATTTTTGTAGAGCATCTGTAAGATGTATCGATGATCTCCTTCAACACACCGTCCGATTTGCATATTCCATTCACTCGAAATTTCTTGCTTGGCCACGTGATGATGTTTGGCTGGTGTCCAGGCAGTGTTTGGACGTACATCAGGGCTGCTTTCCACTTTTCTGCTCGTTCACAGGCATGTATGACCTTACAGTTGGTGGGAATGGGAATGACTACCCCTTGGGCCCTTGAGCTACTGAGTGTTACAAGTATCTGTATTTATCTGTTGTCACGGAACGCAACAGCCATTCGAAAATCCAGAAACTTCAAACCTATATATACGGGTTTGCTCTACCGGGGCCATGATCCAACGTCGCCAGGCTGCTGCGTTGGAAGTTATCACGTCCCTCTTCAAACCTTCAGGGGGCTTCTGGGCGCATGCCGCGACGTGAGTAACACTGAAACACTTTCCCCTGAAACTGGCTTTGAACATGTGTTAACTTGTTTTAACTCTTACAACCGTACTCACAAACTCACCACCACACATCATATAGTCGACCTTGTTAAGCACATTCTCTGTTTTCTGTGCCATTGGAGGACCTTTTCAGTTCCGGTGTGGCTATCCATCTGGCAAGCGATATCTACAACAAGATGTGCTGAGCAATTGTGGTCACGTGGTCCCTTTCATGTATGATTCATATATGATTCACATATCTTTTTAGCCCAACCAGAGGATTTCAAGCTGGAAAACACCAATCTTCAAAGAGTTTGATCTAAGATGATCTAAGTTTCCTCAAACAGCGCCATCTTGCCTTGATGCTGTAAGTCTTCCAGAAAGTTTGTTGCTTCCCTCCAGCGTCCAGCTTCTCCTGAAAAAGTCTTGGCCCAGCTGGGGTGTCTGAGAGTTTTTTCACATGGAATACACAGATACCCAAACATGTTTATTTTCCAAAGTGGGCTCTTCACATCTGGGATAATCATTGGTCCCACTTAGTACCTGGAAAAACAAGTCCCATGTACTCAGCATGGATCGCAATTGAGCACGCTGACACCATCTGCAGACAGGCTTCCCAATGTGCTGATTGTTACGTTGTATGCCTCAGTTGCACACCAAAAGCGCAAGAAACACATGTCAGCTTAATCACCACAGCTGGTAAAGTAGGAATGGTCACCCAAGCATCGGCTCTAGAATGAACTAATTATAATATATTATATTATATTACGTACTATATACATATATATATATATATTATATATATGATTATATATTATATATATGATTATATATGAATACACACAGCCTGGCTGAATTCCAAAGTTCTCTGGCTCAAATCCGCATTTTTCTGCATTGAACTGCCGCGCTGCAATGACGTTGGGTCCCTTGGACTGCGATCTCATCTCCCCCAGAAGGATCAAGGCTCGTTGCCAGTCGGAGACGCGTTGGCAAACGCTCAACCTGAAAGCGTTGATGGATGTTGGGAGGTCCAAAATCTCCCGTGTGCAGAGTATACATGAGCATCAGTTACAGTAGTTATTAGATCTTATTGGGTTTTAGATGGCGATGCTTTTATATAAGTCTTTTTTGTCCTCGATTTTATGTTTGAATTCCCTTGCTGATTTGTTTTAATAACCTCACAGACCTTACATATCATTTTGTTTGCTTCAGGCATCATTGTTGAACCATTGTTGTGGTGTAATTTAAGCATAATGTGACTGCAATGCCGTTTCAAACTCGTCCAAAGAGCCACTTATTGTGTCCGGTAGTCATGCAAGTCAACACTGACTGGGTCCGTGACTTGGTTGTCGTTGCCAACCCCAGACCCATCACAGCCAGCAGTTTCCGTCCGAGAAGCATCCCACCATAGGATACCACGTTAGGGACCAGGCGCATGACTCCAATGTCGCGAAAAAGCAGGAGGGCTTGTTGCCATGCTGCAGCTTTTTCGCATGCCGAGATACCAAGTGAGAAAGTCACAAGATCGATTCTTCGCTTGTGCCTCGCAGTTGCAAATGCTGAGAAAGATGTGTTTCTGTTATCCGCGAAAATCCTTTTGGGGGTTGATCTCATTGAAGAGTGCCTCACATTTGTATACTACATGCCAGAACAGATATCCAGCATGAACAGATATGAACAGTAACTCCCATTTTTCTCGCTCCTTTGCTCCTTTGCTTTTCTTTTATCCACCAACCAGCCTTGCCAGCTGGATGAAATGCAAAGCTTGCTGCCACTGTGTTGCTTCACCACAGGCGCTGATGATGCCGCTATAGCTAATTGCCTGGAGTCCAAAGTGGCGCTGGGTAAAGACACAAACACATCTTTAAACATCTTAAAATATCAAGAAAATGTGTGCTGGTCATTGAGTCATGGGGGTAGCCCAGTTATCATCCTAGTCATTAGACCATGACTTAGTATTGACACCTTTGCGGTCCCAGTCACGTCTGCTTCATCTGCTTCATGAAATACTGCTACGGCGTCTTGCCATCTGGCCTCGGATGGTGAGTTGCAGCTGGGGCTACCTTGGGAACAAAACGCCCTCTTGGTGTTGACAAAACCCCGTAGCACCCCCGGTTTTAGTATATCTAGGCTTTTGGGACCCCATATTATATATTAGGAAGAAACATCATTATTCTGAAAATAGATTAAATTATGAATAAATTCAATAATAGATTCCCAAACTTTAGTCCATTGGGGGATTCCATAATTTTGATCTTAGGGACTTGATTGTTTCGTGTGTCTTGACCAAGTCTGTGCCGAGGATCTGCTTCAGCCAGTGCACTCAACACTGTGTTATGGACGACAATGCTCCTGCATTGTCATGTCAACGTGCAAATTGATATCAAAACTTGGGAGTAGCACCTCGAAAACCTTGAAAACTGTAGCTGTTCACTATAGAAAGTTAGCCTGGAATACAATGTGCCAATCGAGATCAAACATCTCGAGTGTTTGGGCGCTGAAGCTAGGACATTTCAAAAACGCAATGGTTGGTGGTTTCAAGCTGTCCTACTGCAGAACAATCTTCGCCAGTTGAGACAATCTTCCCAAACAAGAGTTTTCACTTCAACATGTTCAAACAATTGCTCGGGTATGGTTCCAAAAAATTGGGCACACATAAAACCTGCTTTTAATATGTACCCATCCATTTGGGAAACAGATTTTGATCAGTCACAACCAGCCATGGAGCCGATCGCCTCAAGCGTTCCTTCTGCATCTGCTGTAGAAGCTGCGAAGTCTGCTGCCACTGACTTTTTGAGGCGCTCACAGCTGAACCATAAGAAAAAACCTGGGTCAATCTATGGCTGGGGTGTTTGGACGCAATACCGGCAATGACCGAAAAATGATGAAAAATGTGTCAACCATTGGTTGACATGACCTTGATATTGTTTGTTGATGACCCGTTGTATCATGATTGAATGCATCCCAGTGTTTTTTTTAAATATTTTTCCATCATACCATATGATATGGAGGGTTCTTAAAATGAGGGATCCCCATGGGTTTCAATACTAATAAAACCATATCCATCTCAAATCTAGATCACAAGTTCCATTTTTTGTGGCCGCAAAGCCGCTGGGGCCATGGCACGTTCTTCTGTGCATCAACAGCGTCAAAGGCCTCCTCTAGCAGCTGTAACGCAGACTGCCAATGATCCACTTTGCCAAGTGCTCCGATGCTTCTGTTGTAGAAAATGACATCTGTTTCGATGTGTTTTTCCTGGGCACAAGACCAAACATCAGTTGTTTCTGGTTTGGGGGGTCCCAAATCACATAATCATGGAATCTGAATCGATTTGGTCAAAACCCTGGCTGCCGAAAGGATGCTTAGAAAAAGGATAAAAACCACCTATTCCAGAACCTGCAAAAACTAACGAAGAACCTACATGTCACATGCTTTAAAATAAACTCCAACAAACTGCGAAATCGATTTAAGCAGGGCCAAATTACCTCTGCGTTTCCCCATACCCTGCAATTCCCAAACCCCTTGATCAGTTGATAGTTTTCTCTCGCCACCAGAATTGTTTTGTATTTCAGGGCTAGTGAGGAGCTAAAACTCCATACCAACATGGGTATGGGTCAAATTCGGAGTACCGAGAACATGTGTGATTACACCTCAACGTCTGCGGTACCCTTGGTCTGAAAATCTGACCAGTACTACCGTCTCACTCTCTGGTGTTTTCACATCTTTTGGTCTCCAAACTCTGTTGTGGAAACATCACTCTGCATGCTGCTGATCTTATTCCAAACTGCACAAAACATTGCCTTTTCATAAGTAAAGGCCTCCTTCCTGTCTACCGTCCCATTTTTTCTATTCCCTAACTCGCAACTTATTCCAAGCTGCAGGAAACGTTGTGTTTTCACAGATAAGTGCAACCTATGGTTGAAAACACAATGTTTTTTGCAGTTTGGAATAAGTTGCGAATTCGGGAATAGAAAAAATGGGACGGGAAGCACAAAGGTTGCACCTACCTGTGAAAACACCACGTTTCCTGCAGCTTGGAATAAGTTGCGAGTTAGGGAATAGAAAAAATGGGACGGTAGACAGACAGGAGGCCTTACATATGAAAAGGCAATGTTTTGCACAGTTTGGAAAAAGATCAGCAGCACGCAGAGTGATGTTTCCACAACAGAGTTTGGAGACCAAAAGATGTGAAAACATCAGAGAGCGAGACAGTACCAACTGGGGTGTGCGGCATGCCGCACACCCCGGTTGGTACCGTAGATGGACGAAATATTCAAACCCCTTCTATTCGGTAAAACCCCCTCGCCCCCAAAGTTCAATGTTAGTGTAACCTGAAGTGCATTAGCCCCAATGGACGACAGAAATCAAACCCCTAACCTCACTTTTGCTAAGACGCGCGCTGAAACATTGAGATTTGGGGGTGCGGGGCTTCAACATAGTGCGTGTTGCAGGGTTTGAATATTTTGTCCACCTACTGTAGTACCCAGGATGGATCAAAACACACCATAGACACCATACCACAGGAATTACACCTCCAATTCCAATGGACTATCACCATGTTCCCTATGATTTAAAAAACGATGTGTAATGTGTGGGTATCCCCTAATTTCAAACAAACCCAAACAGGTAATGAACCAGTTGTAATCATTGTAGATGATTTACCTATTCAAAATAACCTGTGTTCCATGGCTAAGATTAAATTACCAGAGGGTAGATCCCATGAAAATATCCCCATGTTGGATAAGTCCAAGATCGCCATAAAATCTTCCATTTATCCCATGGAAAATCCTATTATATAGTTCCCATTAAATCTCCAAGATTTCTTGGTTAAGCCCAGCATTTTTGGTTAAAATCCAATTTTTTTCGTGGAAACTCAGCTGTCGAGGTGCTGCTACCTCCTCCATCATCTGCAAGGAATGGCACCAGCTGTGACGAGATGAAAACGAAATCAGGTCCTTCTCCACAGACCTCGAAAATGAAAGCCATGGGGCTGGTAAAAGTGGCTGTAAGATGCTCTAAGTTGTAGGCTTACATGCATATAACACATATATATATACATATATATATACATATACACATATATATATACATATACATATATACATATATATATATACGTATACACATATATGTATACATATATGCTCTGTATTAATATAGACTCAGACTAGACATTGTGTGTGTGTGTTGTGATATCAAACACGTATGAAGTATATATATTTTTTATTTGGTGTAGTCCAGTCAAGAGCTTAATGCATTGTTTCAGAACTTCTTATCAAATTCAAAGAGGTTATCAGCGTTTCACAGAAGTTGTCCACATTTCATAAAGATTGAATCGTTTCACGAGCCCCCTAATGACGTTCGTGTTCAACTGCTTTGGAATGGACGGCTCTCGCTGGAAGCTCTTAACGATACTATCCGGATGAATATGTCTCATAATATGTATATATATATACATGTCAGTTCTGCATGTGGTTGAAGGGTATTATCCAGTCATGAAATACTATGATAACACACAACTAAATTACAACCGGTAGGGACATGTGACATATCACCGATGAGACTTACACATCGCATCACCACGTGATCATCTTTTCCTGTGGAGTTCCGCATCATCATCCCACTGCAATGGTCGCACCAAGCCATAGATCTTAAAGCGCTCAACACTCCAAAACGGAACTTCAACAAACATGGTTCCTTAAAAAAATCCTTCGGACATGGCCATTTTGTGCTTAGAACTCCTGCACAAAATCCTCCTGGGTGAAGCTGCCAGAGGGACCCAATTTTGGCTTGGTGCCTCCAGTGCATCTTCTGGAAAATCTGCAGGGCACCAAGCCATTTCTGAGAACTGAGGACCTAAATGGTGAAGCTTCAACCAGTTTTGGAGACAAAGGCTCCTGGGTGATAAAACCAATGAACATGGGGGCTTTTTAATACACTAGGTGTTACATAACCCCTCACAAATCAAAATGTCTAATGGGCACCAATCGATCAGCCATACCCAAGTCCACGGCCACTTACTAATTATACATATATATATATATTATACGATATTATACGTATAATTATTCTCAACCAGGATGCAGCTCAAAGAAAGATGGCGTCCAGGCGTTGCAAATAAACATAGATCTGCGGTGGCAAGAATACTGCAGACAATTCATTTCTTCCAATTCCACAGAACAAGCGCCTAAATTTTCTTCAGTCACACATTCGAGGCTCGGTATATAGCACCACACTTTCCATGAGCGGCAACGATCCCGTGGAAGCCATTGGATTCCGATCCAAGCGGCTGCGTTGAAGATGATCACGTTGCTTTGCAGCGCCCTCTGCTCTGCTCGGTTCAGCAAATGTTCTGCCCATTGCCACTCTGACCTGCGGATTGCCTGGAGACGGAGATGATGGATGAACCATAATGGCGATAATAGTGAATGTTAATAATTGTGTATGATTCTAATAATCATCATGATGATGAATGATGATGAGTGCTACCACAAGCAAATCAGTGCATTCGATGCTTAAATTACATCATCAAGGTCTCTCGCTGCATCAAATGTCCCTGCCTTGGTGTAGTCTGCTGGGGCCACCAGGGTACTTAACTGCATCTCGCTGGAAATGGATAGAAATGACAGCAGCAAACAGTCAACTTTTTGGAGATCAATTCACCCTGGTGTGGTGAACCCTCGGATGAACAGAAGAAACAAAATCGTTTTGGAGGATACCCAAATTGACAAACCTGGACCAGGTTCAGATTTGGTAGTCTTCCACTTCCCTTGATTCGCACCCCAACCACTGCTCAAGTCCCCTTTTTTCGATGTGTTTGAAAACCAGAGACCTAATGATTCACCAGTAAATACCAGGTCACTTTGGGATATTTTTTCCGCGTAATTCACCATGGTCACTTTGGGGCCATGAGGTCTTCATCCTCTGCGGGTTTTTCAGGCTCCCGACCGCGGCTTGGGCCGATCGTCCTTGCCAGGCTTGCGATCTCACTAATATGTCTTACATCATCAATACCCACTGGTAAATGGTAAATAGAATATCTATGTTTTTTTTTTAAAATATCTATGATCAACATATATTAGAATTTTGAACATACCTATAGTTTATGTCACTTTTCAAATACTAAAGTAAATAATCTATACATGGGCCATGGCTTCCATAGCACCACTTAGAGGATCATGCCAATTAGCAAGTGGTTAATAACCATACATAATCACTATTCATTTATAGGAATGCTATGGATAGTTATAGATGGTTATTAACCATTAGTAAGTGGTTATTAGCTTACTAACTGGTTATAGATGGGTTAACCCACTTAGGGGATATTTACTTACCAGGGTTACTAACCAGTAAGCGGGGCAATCCTCCAAGAAGAGGGTCCATTCTCTTAGGATGTGAGGATGGCCTGCCTCGTAGTCACTGAAGTCGTCGATGGGAGTGTCCTGCTCGTGCAAACCGACAGCAGCCATGCCAATAAGTCATAACAATGAACTAAGAATAACCATTTCTGGTACTAATAAGATAGTAAAGTCAATCACGACAAACAACAATACATAATGACATACGCAAGTGAAACATCACAATTAACAATAGTAATTATAGCAATGGTAATAATAATGATAATGATAGTAATAAAAATGGCAATATAAAAAACATATTTAAAGCACAAAACCAACAAGCATCATCTCCAAATAGCCACCTCCATGGCCGCCGATTGCACGGCTTTGAGCCACAGCTCCATGGTCTTAGCGTCGCCACTGGCGAAGTACCTGCGATGCCCGGCTTCTGGGTATGAACAACCAATGGGGAACCATGGGTTGATATGGTCGGAATACCATACAACATTGGTAAATACGCTAAATATGGGCTAAAATGGAAGAACATCGTATTAAATTGATGGTTTCCAATCAATTCTCCATCAATTCTGGCCACATCTCTTTTTATGAGCTCACCCTGAGCTTTTTTCTGAGCTCCCAGCCATGGATCTGAGGATGGAGACGCCTGGCTGTTGGCTGGGTCAGCTTCTTTGTCTGTTGGATGCTGGGGTTATTTCTAAAAAGCGCAGATATGTTTTTCGAAACCAGACAACAACTATTTCTAAAATAACATACAGAGTTATTTCTAAAACATACAGAGCTATTTCCAAAAATACAGAGAGAGAGAGCATGAGAGACAGATATAGGTGGATTTTTTTACAACAAAAATGCAAGGTTTGCTCATAAATAACATTGTTGCTGTTCCAAAATATGTAGACGATATACATATGTCTGGCTGATTCCCCTTGCATTCACCATCATTCCAGTGACGTCACGCCGTGAGGTTGTTGTAATTCCTCCAGAATTATGGATGATTCATGGATAATCAACCGATCATTTAGAATCATGTAGTAAATCCAATCGTAAATGTGGAATAGTGTTTTTTTTTTTTTTTATGGGACAATTTATTGATATATGATATGGGAATATATGGGATAATTGATCGGGACCATGAATCATACCCCAATTGGGTTATGGGTGAAATTTCCACCATCCCAAATAGGTTTACAGCACAAAACCCCATTTAGTACCCGTTTTTTTTAAACCATTGTGGGGGTATTGAAAGCGTGCCCAAGAAAGGTGTCTATTGCGATTGAAGATTGAATTTAATTGAATTTACCACAGGAGTTACAGGAACATCTAGGAACGATATGGCAGATTGGACCACAATGGACCACATGTTCGGCAGAATTATTACCAGCGCTGGGATATATCCACTTTGACATTCTGATCGGTCTGGATCCATTGGCTCAAAGTGAGCCTCGATGGTGAAGCCAAACTCCGTGTGAGACCTCAATACTGAAGTGATCTTTGGGCTGGGGGTCTACACTCTACACGGCCACATAGCGGAAAACAACTTTCCATCATTTTCCATCCGCGACAGTCAAATGGCTGCTGGGTCGTTTTTAGACATCTGTAGCCATCCATCTTTTGGGGAAACTATCATCTCTGTGAGGCAGCTGAAGAACTCACACGCCTTGGGGAAATGTATGGAAATGTCAATCACAAGGTTGATTCATATGGATTCATAGGGACCTTATGGGGCCTTACTCCTCAATGATCATTGGTGATCTTTGGTGATAAATCTTGAATGGTTGAAGCTCCAAACATCCCAGAGACGCAACAAAAATCAGGAGTGGTCTTGGTCTCCCAGCTCCATGTTGTCCATCGCCTATGGCGTGAAGCCCTTTAGGTAACCTTTAGGTAACCAGGATTAACCAGGTCACCGATCCCTGGCTGCATCGCTAAACCGGTCATGATCCATCCCAAATACCCCAGCCGCCTTCGAAGACGCAGTCAGCTCGATCAGACCTGGCGAACATCGCTCAAAAAAAGCGTTCCTGCTCAACATGCTTTGACAAGCCAAATGAGTGGCTTGAGGTGCATCATGTTGAAAAAAACATGAAAACTCCCAACATCTTCAGGCACACTTGTGTTTATTCATCTGTTGTTACAAATTTACAAAGTACTTTGGTCTAATTCGGCGCCAGCCAACATGGAGATGGGCTTCATTGACCAAGCCGCACCAAGGATTGCTGGATGTTTGGGGTTTATAATGTACAACTATCAATTAGTGATGACGAGAACATCATTCCGGGCCCCTTGACTCCCAGGCCAGAGTAGGATGGGCCTGTCTTTGAGGAGCATGAGCTGTCGCTGAAGATGCTCATGAGGGCCACCGGAGACTGGATCACATCCAGCAAAACATCAAAGACAACTCCAATGAATCCTGAATTATATGTAGCTGTCCATTAATCCCATGAATTGTGAATTGACATGCATTGACATGTATTATCCCAATGCTTAGCTCTTGCACATCCAGCAGTAGCGAAAAAGCCAATCAAACCTCTGATCTCGGGTCCCTGACGCCAGCTTGTAGCACACACCACCTACCAGCCATGGATTTAAACCAATGAGGTAACACAATAACACACAGGTCACGAATTTGGTTGCATTGACTTTTTTACCCTCTGGTAAACTAACATAACTATGGAAAATCACCATTTTTAATGGGAAAACTCACTATAAATGGCCATTTTCAATAGCTATGTTAGTTTGCCAGATGGTAATCCCACCATCCTTTCATGCAAGATGAGGGCAAAATATCACCAGCGCCTCTGCTTCCAGGTGCCTTCTTCGAAGACCTGTCAGGCTTTAAAACAGCCATAGACATCTCAGTTCGGTGTCAAAACTGGCTGAGTTTTCTGAGGAAATTTTTGATACACCATGGTGCGTGGTGTTAATATCTTCATGTTGCTGGTTATCATCCCGCATTTCAGACACATTATCCCGAATGTTGGGTAATATATACAGTATATATATATATATCCACCGTGTAATACAATGTAATAATCCAACAACAAACACCACAGCAGCAGCAACAACAACAACCACCACCACGACAATGCTAATGAGGATCCGCCCATTTCGTTGCTCTAGGCGCTTGCACCTGCAACCAGTCTGCCTTCAACGTAGCATCACCTGGGCCTTCCATCAGTCACTTTAAGCGACTCAGGGATGATTGGCCATGAGGCGCAGGTGGGTAAACAATGTTGGGCATCGTATACAAATATAGGACAACAGAATCATAAATGATTGTGATGATTATCTGACTATTGGATATGAAAAATGTATAGAATCTGATTATGCTTTTTGGTATTGAAGCATCCTATTTTGTTCGACTAATCATTTTCAGTCATAGCCATTCACAAAGATGCAAGCGTTCTTTGAACCTTTGGTGACACAGAGTCTATGGTGAATTCTGAAACTCAACACCGACCATGTGAGAGAACACCTGACTTTGAATAATCAAGGATCTCTAGTATGACGATAAAGTGATTTCTCCTACTCTTTTGAGCCAAAGGACGTTGACAAAGTGTGAATCAAGATCGAAACCTCTACAAACTTGGTCCTAGCTTCGCATTTGTTGGAGGCTGTACGTCCAGGACAGCAGCTGTGTTATGAAACTTGGCATTGAAGAACTCTGCCTTTCTAGTCGTCCTTTCAATATCATCATGGATCATCATCTACTAGAATTTTCTTTTGCCATGTTTGATCAGCAGTAGATCCTGTTTGATCATGCGCGGCGGACGCATCAAAAAGGAGCACGCTACATCGCAGGCATCCCGTGGTTTTGGGTAAGGAACGGTGCTGTCGAGAGTCAACGCTGGGCCTACGCCAGCTGGTTGGGGATGTACCATGACTTGCTGAACTGGCGGTTTAACATGTTTTAACATGCTTCAACATGCTTTAACATGGTTTATGTGCAAAGGCAGTATCAAAATTAAACCATGACTTCATCAACAAACATCACATTCAATGATCAATGAATTCAATGGATCCAATTCGCCAAGTGGCAGTTTGGGGATCGTCAAATACCGATGAGAAATTTAAGGCCGGTCAGTTTTGGTACTATATAATTCGCAAGCAAGCCGAACTGGTGTGCCATTTATTCCACATGGCCATTTTGCATCAAATTTCATGCCAAAAATAGTTGGGATCATTATGTGCCCAATGAACTGAACTCAGTTCTTGATTCCGTGCAGTTCAATTGGAAAGCCATTCTGCTTCTCCGAAAAGGTCAATTTATAGATCTAAATCAGTCATCACTTGACCCTTCAGTTGAACAATGTTGAACAACTGAGGAGAGTGGAGCTTCATATGGAGATTTCCTAAAATGGGGGGGTACCCTAGTTTTCATCCATTTTTAATATGTTATTTGGGATTTTCCATGAAATCAACCAATGATTTTTGGAGATCCCCCCATTTCTGGAAAGCGTATTACCGTTGATCCATGGTGATCCATGGTGATCCATGTTGATCCCTCAACACTTCAGCTGCGACTCTCAACACCTCAAAGCTCAGCGCCGTCAAAACATCTGACGGCGATCGCAACGCGACAGCGCGACAGCGCGCGCACCGCTCAGTAGACACGCTTCGCAGGCGGCACGTGATGCATCTCCTGTGTGGAAATGGCATTGTGTACCCTCTCAAATTAAAGATGGCCATGGGAAATCCTTTCTAATATATGGCTTTTAAATAGTAGGAAAATCATCTATAAAGAGGAGATGTTCCACTGCCATGTTTGATTAATGGTACAATAAACACTTGCTCTAAATGCGGTAGAGGATTGTTTAGGAGTAATGAAACATGTTAGATTCATGAATGGATCCTGGAGTGGGCGAACGGTTGTTAAGAATTGGTTATACAATCTCTGACTAGCTCGAAACGTTCTTTAAATATTGTAATGTGGTACAGTAAACCCAATAATAAACATACCATTTGGGGATGCTTTATACAACCCATTTGTGATTTTTTGGGTGCTTTAATTTTGACGGGTTAACCACATCACCCATTTACCAACCATGTTGTGACCATTGTGATAAAAAGGAATTTGATCTTGGGGCAAGGACGAAATATCGCCACGTCCTTGTCCAGTGGCTGATCGATGACTCTGCGGTACTTCAACACCACCTGCCACGCGGTTGGGGCTGCTACTCCTATATCAATCTGCCATAGCGCACACGGGGCCTTGTTTTGACGGAACAACTTGGGAATGGGAACATTCAATGGTTTTTTTATCTAATCCTTTGAAACTTCCAGACCTTGAGAAGAATTCCCTTTCCCGCCTTGGCATCCTCGACATAAGGCTTATCCAGCCAAGAAAGGGTGTGCTTCATCCAATTCTCATCGTCGCCTGGGAACATTTCGAATGTCCAGTATATGATTTCAGGTAGGTGTGTACATTTAAATCGTAACCCACGGCTTTGAACCTTTGCCACTTCCAAGAATCTAGACCATGCAAAACCATTATATATCTCATTAATGTTCCATTAAGATATCCCGATAAATATCCACATCAATATGTTCATTATTTCCGGTTATATCCCAAAATTCACCTATGGTTATCCCAACAAATATCCCCGTTATTGTTGGCTTTATACTCCCATAAATATAATCAAATATATCCCAATTAAAATCCCATCAATATTGTCTGAGCAGTGTTCAAACCCTTTGTTGTTCCTTTAAACTTGCTGGTTGAGAACGGATTTCCCGGTTCAAATCCCCAATATATTGGATGGTACAACCCCATAGAGCCGTTGATCAAGCAGCATTCAGCAGTTATATCCACTCTTATCCCCATATTTTGAAGGATAAAACCATATTTTTATTGATGAACCAATCAGCCAATAGGGGTTCTGAACAGAAAGACCATCAGTGCAGGAAAACTCATTAGATAATCATAACAATATATCGTTTATAACAATGTGATCACAATATATATATATACATATATACATATATATAATATATATTAAACTACAATATATATTTAAACAATATGATATCATCTGCTTATATATATATATAAATATTTACTATATAATAAATCAAAAAAACATATAATGTATCATTTAAAATATTACTTAATGTATCATGTAAAAAAAAACTACAACAATACAACAGTATATATATATATATGTATATATCTAATCATAACTCACACAAACTCATCATTTCTCCCCCATCCCCAGCTGCCCAGCCACGTTCCGGGAAGTTCTCGTGCGCATGGGCGCCGCGGGACTCCTTGCGCGCTTCCGCGGCGTACATCTCCTGAGCGGCCTCAGCAGCGAGGAGTTTCCTGGTTGAACCATGGCAGCCAAATAGTGGGGTCCATGTCATTCTGATCCCGGTCATCCCCATGGGTCCATTGGGTCTATGGCAATGGAACATCCCAATTGGCTTTTCCCCCACCTGGTTGATGAGGTTTTCGAGCTCCAAAGTCTCAATGAGATCCGTATTCCTCGGGATTTGGAACTGAGCGAACTGGGCAAAAAATATGTGCCCGTTGCGGGACACCGCACAAAAAAGTGACCAAAACATCAAATGTTTGTGATTATTATAACCATCTATCATTATAAATGGTTATATAACTTATATATCCCATTTATTTCCTCATCAAACTGCGAATCGGCTTCTTTTTGTGGAACCGGCTGAGTCTGTTCCATGCCGCACCTGCCATGTGCGTGTTCTTACTGTACAACTCGGCCGACGAGGCCAACGGCGACTGAAACGGAAACGCAGCTCGCCAGTTGAAGCGATTGACCATCGGTCGAGGCCTTGGATGCCTCAAACATCATCTCCAAAAAATGTCACCATGTCAAGGTCGGATTTTCATCCCATGAGCTATTCAAGCTACTGACCCATCTGGTTCATCAACCGGTGTTTTAAATGATCGTATCAATATGGAGATGCGTCATTTTTCCATTCAAAACCTATGTTTCTCATTGTTTCTCCATTGTTTCTCCATATTTGGGGGAGATTTTTTCGCCTGTACATCCCAGCGATTTTGGTGTGAACAGAAGGGGATTCCATGGGTTTAGAACCTAGACTCATCGCATGTTTTCCAAAATCAAATCCCCTGAGTCAATATGATGGTGATTTAATGGTGATTTCAATGAGGCTTTGAAATTCCAGGCCCCAGCCAGCTGCGGCTTCAATGGTCTCTCTTGCCCTGCTTCATCATCAGAGAACGCTTCTTCTGCGTCTTCTGCATCTGGGTCTCCTGCTTTAATCATCCCTACTGGGTAGACCGCAAAATACCGCTATCGATATCCCTTCTAATTTCACATATGTAAATAATCTGTAAATATGATAAATAGAATTAAATATAGTTGGCTTGTTGACTCCATCATAGAAACATATAGAAACTAGATCCAAGGTGGTGAACATCTCAAGGCATCCCAAAAAAGGCCCCACTTCTCCTCATCGCCATTGGGCTTCCACAAGCCGCGGTGCAAGACCTCCGCGGCCGCGTCATGGACCTTTTCCCAGCCGTGGAAACGGCCGCGTTGGCTCAGGGTGCCCACGGCGTTGGGGAAGGCGTGGTGAACATCATGGAACCTCGCCAGGGCCGCCAGGGGTCCCGGCCGTCGCAAAGGGGGGTCGCCGGTTCAGAGTTTGTTGGTACCCAGTAATCAATGGCCATAACCCAGGAACCCAGATTGGAGGTACCTACCATTTTTTTCAGGCCTATGTAAGGCCTATGGCCTGATATGGTACTAACGTACCTCCGTTTCGGTATAGCTCCATCCCAAAACCATGTTTGGAGTTGAACAGGGGTCCCCACTGATAGAAGAACCCACCAAACAATGTCTTGTTGGCTACATATGGATTTTACCACTATATATTATTACCACATCATCATCCCATTATATTAAAATTATCACCAAAAAACTCAATAGATCATTGATGGTATAATGGGATATGGAGGTTTACTGAAATGGGGGTACCCCCAAATCATCCATTTTAATAGGGTTTCCATTACAAACCATCTATTTGGGGTACCCCCATTTATGGAAACCTCCATATGATCATTCTCATCCCATTAGCGCCATTAGTATCCCAGCAAAAAAACACGTTCTATTCCTGCATCAAAGATGTTGCCAAACGCCCCAGGTACAGCATCTCGTTCCAACGGTGCTTGCCACCCAAGACCAAGGCCATAACATTGTGGAGGATGGGCCAGGTGCGCCCAGGGTCCTCCAAGGAGCAACCCTCGTGGATTTTTGATGTTTAACCGGCGATTTTCAATTGTTAAATGATGATAATGATGGATGATTTTCAATTGTTATCACTGCCCTGTTGAGTTACATGGATTTTTGGTGAGTTTCTATAGTTGCTGAATCACTGATGCTTTTCTGTTTTTTGCATGGTTTTCAACCAGGACTAGAAGCATTATCCTTAGGTGACTTTTTGGGCTTCAATCCCCATTTCCCAGTTTTGGTGGTTCGAGTCTCTTGCGTGTTGCATGACCCCTCACTTCCTGTGCCAAGAACTCGTTCCAAGGCAAAGAGTGGGTGAAGTTGGTAATGAACATCCAAGCCAAGCTGAAGCCAACACGAGCAAAGAAGGACACGGTGAACCTTGGGGAACTGTGGGGAAAACTGCCCCAAGCTTGGAAGTATCACTGGTAAGAAAAAGATGCAATGCAGATGCGCTTTTCTCTCAAGGAACTTAACCATCTCCTGCCCAAAGGTGTGACATTCCAACATATCCAACATGAATTCTGGAAACAAAGAAATCCATCAAGCACCACTTGTATAGTCCATGATGTCGTGGGCCCCAGCTCCCTGAGCTTCGGACATGAACCTCCAGCCTTCGCTCAAGGGCCTTCCCAAAGGCCAGGTGCCCAACAACCAGACGCAGAGCCACAGGGACAGCACGAAGAGGTTGTGCTTCACGCGTCGTGGCACCCATTTGCTCCAGAATTCTTTGTTGCCTTGGAAAAATGTAGAGAAAACTCATCTTTAAACTAATGGGTCAATAAACCATGACATGGCAGGTTGCTTATCTTAGTCGGGTGCTGAAAATTTTGAGGGTACCCCCAAGTCCACTGCCATTTTGAGGGTATGCCATTTCAAAACAATAGCGACAAATGTCACCTTTCGCCGCCAAGGGGCACTTGCCACCTGCACCCTCATCAGGGAAGTGCATCCTGGCGACAAAGCGCCGTAAATCGATGTGAACTGTTGATTAAGCACCCAACGGACCCAACCATTCTGGGATCATTCTAAGTCTATATACATCCGAAATATGGAGGTGTCTTATGGGGATCTTCAAGTCACCATGGCTTTCAATACCAAAATAGTTTAATGACTTGGATAATTTGGGGTACCCTTATGACTTAGGAAACCTCCACATAGTGTTACACCCTATTTGATGAACCCCCTTTTTGGGGGGATGGCGTTTGATTGGCTTTCCCTCCAAAATTTTCCCATCGGATTCCGCCAAGAGTCCACCATTCTAGGGCGAACAAAGAGCCAGTGTCGTTGAGACCAAAGAAGTGAATCACAGGAATCCATGGTACGGTCAAGAAGTACCTGCAGCAGAAATCCGTCCTAGTTAGAATCCCCTGAAAAACATATGAAGTCTTTATTTGTAGATCATGTCATGTAACTTAAAAACCCAAATTCATGGGAAGTCCCCATTTGCTATAGGTAAATCATCTACAGATACGCGTAACATGTGTCAGCATAGTTGGGAACACTGGGGACACTGAGACTCCTGGGCAGGTCCCCAGTGTAGCTAGATATAAATAAAAATAATCAAAATCTAAATATAAATATATATCGTATCACATAATATTATATGCAACATCTATTATATGATATAGTCTTATATAACACTATAGATTGTATAAATATAATGTGTATGTATATATATACACATATATATATATACATGTATATATATATATACACATTAATACATGTATATATAATATAATGTGATTTTCCAGTCCCTAGCAAAGCAGTTTCCCCACTTGCACAACCCAAGATGTGACCAAGACACTTGTACCAGTTGGTGCTGAAAGGTCCTGCCCACTGCTGCAGTGCGTAGTGGAACTCCTCTGGATCCCAACCAAATTCGCCCTGGATCAACAGATCCACCTCAGATGAGATGGGTCAAAAGGATGTGTTCCTAGTGGGATGATACCCGAAAACCCTACCTAAATCACTGGGATGTATATTTTTGGTCAAAAAATGTATCAACATCCATTAAGCCCCGAGAAATTGGGCCAAGCTGCAGTGCTGGCGTGGTGGCGATTGTGCTCCAATACAAATTCCTCCCAGGGCAAGGAAAAGAAGTCCTTGGCTGCTTGGTTGACGCTGAAACCCATTGGTTTCCATAAAGGTGCAATATATATATATATATTTAATATTGTATATTGTATAATGTGTAATGTGTAATGTAAAATGTATAATGTATAATGTATTATGTATAATATAAAATGTATAATGTATAATGTATAATGTATTATGTATAATGTATAATGTATAATGTATAATGTACAATGTATAATGTATAATGTATAATGTATAATGTAAATATTTATATATACATATTATTGAGTGTTGATTTGTGTTGATCAGACTTCAAAAAATTTCATCCTTGTAAAAACGGCAATGTTCAATCTGGAGGAAAGAATATGTTCGGTCCTCCTGATTCTAGTTGAACAAGTCTCAAATATGGCAAATCACTCCAACTGCCTGAACGCAAAAACAAACCATCGCCAACCCTCACCCGGTTTCGGTTTTATCCAGCAGCTGCAAACGGATGTGTCAAGAACTTCTGGAACTCATAGACCGGGAAGGTGGCCCCGTGCATCACCTGGAAAGACTTGTCAATCTCACTAGCACCAACTTGAGCGCAGAGGCGGGCGAAGAAAAGGTGCGTGCTAGCGATTAATATTTAAAAAATATGAAAAACCGTTTTTTTTGTTGGTTTACGTCATGACCTTGATGACGACCATGACGACAATGATGTTGATGATGATGGTGGTGATGATAATCATGATAATAAAATTAATAATGAGGATGCGGAAGAAGAGGAAGACGACGACGACGACAATGACCACGATGATGACGACGACTATGACGACGATGATGACGATAACGATGACGGCGATGATGATGACGATGATGGCGATGACGATGACGATGATGATGAGGATGAAGATGACGACGACGACGATGAGGACGATGACGATGACGATAACGATGTGATAACGACGATGTGATGATGATGATAATGATGATAATGATGATGATGATGATGATTATGGGGATGTGATGATGGCAATTGGATGTTGATGACCAAGGTTAGAGGATGATGATTCCGTATGAGGATGTGGCTGGCCCTGAAGAAGATGAGGACGAGCATGAAAGGCATGGGTATGATGTGCACAAACAAACGACCATACTTCATAATCGAAACATATCACTCTGGTTAACTCTGGTGCTTTCCTCTGCCCTGAAAAGGAAAATATGCTAACGCGCGGAGAAAGCAGGTAGCTGACGCTACCTGTCGCGATGACTTTGCAAAACGTTGAACGGAACAGGAAACTGAACGCTGCATCTCTGAACGTTGGATTGGTGGCTACGCATCATCTGAAAAATTAGTTGCCACTAGCGAACCAAGTTGCATCGTGATCGATGTAGATCTGCTGGATGGCAATGTAGGAAAAGGGCACGCCGAAGAAAAGTGTGCAAGTCCACCAATGCGCGGGGAACATGGCCAATGCAGCGCAATAAGCCATGATCATCAAGACTTGCGTCACGAAGATGGCCTTTCGATTGCCACTGTCAACTGAGTCAGAGTCATGAATTTCACTGTTGGATTGAAGTCGCTGATGATCGGGCTACTGTGCTTACAATTCAAGTCCACGTTCATGCCACAGACAGTTGCAAATCAATTTTATATTGATGTGCAAACTTTTTTCAAGGAGAGTTGCGGTCAAGACATTCCACATATACATCATTTGCTCCGGCGTAATCTTGGTGAACAAGAATGCCAAATTCTGAGGCATGGGATCTGGTTTGTTCGCGGTGGGGAACAAACGGTTGGTCTTCAAGCTCCTGCAAAGCGCATGGGCCTGGCTGATGGTCAAAAGAACAAGCCAACAAAACACCGGCACGTCTGATAACATATCTTGACTCTTGACATTACCCACATTATCCTGCGGTCATATCTTCCACCAGTCCTGTTCTCGTTGTTCTTTTCCACCTTCAACATCTTGTCCTGGCATTGAATTCAAACACGACACCACCCGCTGTGGCCCAACGGAAAGCGCTGGTCAGTTGGTCAAAACTCCCCGCCTGACTTTGCGCCACTCCCGCAGCATTGGGGTCAGCTTCACCTGGGAGCAAGTTCTTCATAGCCGCAATCTCGTGGTCCCGGGCGTATTTGCGCTTCAACTCCTTCACAATGGGATGATTGTGGATGATTGCATGGTTGGAATTGAGATGAATTGAGCAGTAGGGCGCAATCAAAACGGTGCCCTTGTTGCTCTTGTGAGCAAGCTGCCTTGATCTTTAGGGAACAACGGTGTTTGGACGAGGGAGCCCCCTTATCTTCTTAGACCATGAGCAACGTTTCGATCAAGTACCAGACAGGGCCCGCCCATGCCTGGGCGGAAGTTTCGAAAAAATTGAAACAGCTATAACAAACCAATGGCCCATAGGAACGTTTTCGAGATGCACAAGCAATGACGCGTTGAAGCTGTGAGGTGCATCGACAAATTAGCAAATGGATGTAAATGGTGGTTAAAATGCCAATGAAATGACATAAAAGAATCCATGCACAACTGACCGAATGAACCAATGAATCAATGAATCGGCGAAAAGGAGTGAATTAGTGAGTCGATGAAGCAATGAATCAATGAACCAATGACTCAGTCGCAGAGCTGACTATGGGGACGGTTCCGCGCTGCTCCGAGCATTGCAGTTTTTTACGTTTTTTATGTGAAATCGAGCTCTCGCTACAGTCTCGTGCACATTTTGCCGACCTGATCTTTCGAAAGTGCTCCCCGCACCTCAGTTTTTAACATTTTCAAGTGCAAATCGAGCTCTCACTAGTCCTATGCACTTTTGTCGACAACTTTCCCAGATCGAGCCCCGGACCCGCAGAAACAGAGACCCTACTTCGGTGACCCCAGGAGCCACATTATCCAAAAAAACGCAGCGTTTCGCGCCCGAGAGTGTCTTCACCCGTAAGTTCACACGCTTCCGAGTTGTTACACTTTCCAACTGCCTGACGATGGGAAGGAAGCTGACATATCATGATGATGTGGTTGACATGATGGTGTGAATGCTGACCATGACAATGGTCCGGAACTCGGCCGTTTTCTAACTAAACTTCCTTTGATAAATGAGATTAATTGAGAAACTTCTGACTCACGGACAAATGTCAAGTGTCAACATATGTCAAACGGCCAAATCCAACTCACAAACTTAACTGCGCAGCAATGGACAATTTCGATATGTTGCGACCTTTTCCAAGACAAGTTTGGCAAACTGATACTGATACTGATGATGATGATGATGATGATGATGATGTGTTTTTTGGTGTTTTTCTCCTCCAAGTACTCATCCGCACCATAGAAGATGGACGCTTTGGAGTGGCCCTTCTTCTGCTGCTGGCCTAACAAAGGTGCAGTCGCCATGGCGAAGGCGCAGCGACCGACTCAGCCGAGGGATCAATTGGAAAACGTCTAGCAATACTGAGCCGATACCTGGCCGGAAGGTGAAACACCCTGAACGATGTCATACACATGAAAAAATAATATATATTATACATATGATGTAATATGATATTTCTGTATAATATATATATATACCATGTTTAGATACAAATCATATAGACTGTAAAACTCTATTTTGGACCCTCGATCACAGGCGCAAGTATCCAACCATAGAGATTGTAGAGCACAAGGCCTTCATGATACGAATGTGTCAACTTGCATCAACCCGTTCTTCCAAAAGCATCTGGTCTTTATACGTTCCAGCCGGTGCCTTCACATTTCGACACACACTAGTGTGTCCCAGCAACCACAACAATTGAAACGGAGTTGTCATATACCCTTAAATGCTCCATTTTTTTGGTATATTGATGTATATTGAGTGATTTTGGTGGTTATTTTGTGGATACCCTCTGGTTATGTCAACAGTTTGCTATTGAAAATGGCCATAGAAATAGTGGATTTTCCCATGAAAAATGGTGGATCTTTCCATAGTTATGTTAGTTTGCCAGAGGGTAAACCTCCATTTTCCTATGGTTTTCCTATGGTTTTCCTATGGAAACCACCATAACCAGAGGGTATACCACCATGAGTTATGGCCATCCTAACCTAACCCCGGTGAAGATCCTGGGAATCCCCAACCACACCATGGTGCGATCCTTGATTCCCACGTCCTGGGGCAAGGATAATCCCACCTCGTTCATCTTCAACACCCCCTGTGGTTAAATGGTACCTGCCAATATATATATATATGTATATATATATATATCCAAATATGTGATTTCATCCCCTATTAAACCATCGTTTCTCCGGGTCTTTAATATGAATGCAGGATGGAATTATATCGATTATATCTGGGGGGCGCTTCTTGTGATTGGTGTGAACTCTCATTGGTGGATTTCGGGGCATCCACTCGACCCTGGGAAACCAGTTTCATGGTAAATATAAAGAATGGTTCTGGAACATCCCCATGTTGGTTGGTGCTATTTCCACTTTAGTAACTTTTCTGGGCTAGGTTGTAGTAGTAAACATATGTAAACATGCGTAATGTCATTTTGAATGGTGATTTCGTGTGATAATGTGATGATCTCAGTGTTGTTGGATAGGTTACAGTATATTTAGCACCCTCGAGGAGCGCTGTGCGTCAGCTGGTCCTTGTATTTCTTCATGACTTCCACGATGACATCCTTTCCCTTCCTCAGGTCATCAGAATTTCCTGAGCAGCGAATGCCCACAGCAGCATTTTTTTTCCTCCCAACTGCAGTGGTCATCTTTGGTCTGTTGGTTTCCCAAGGTGTTGAATAAACTGTTCATTCATCTTGATTCACGTTGTTTCATGTTGTTTCATGGTGATTCAGTGATTCCATACTTCTCTAATTTTTGCTGTTGCTCCAGCAGCAAAAACTTGTGACAAAAAACCAAGTCCAGTGGCAGACTTCCAGGGGCTCTTCCCAGCAGAAAATGTCCAGCTATGTCGTCCATGGCTTAAAACTATCAACAGAGGTCAACTGGATGCATGGTCACTTCACGAGTGGACAAAAACTATCAAAACCAACACAAATCAAATTATCTGGATACTTCATATCCATATCTAATATCTATATCAATATCTAATATACATATCTAATATCCATATCTATATCATATATATATATATATATGTATAGGAATAGTTTGAATACATTTCGTCATGCCACTAATGATCAGATCGGGATTTTGGCAATGCCGCCCTGCGAGATCACCAAGATGCGGTACACTGGCGCGTACTTCTGCATGGTCACCTGGCAGTGACCACCAATGACAAACGGGTGGATGAAGAGTATAGGATGATATATGACATGAACAATAATAATCATCAGAATCACAACAATAATTATAATGAAAAAATGATCATCATTGATAACTTCAGATAATTCAGATAGATCTTTTTTGTGTGGGATGATGACAACAATATAATCTTAACGATATGTAATATCAATCTGAATGATTCGCACGACTACTGAGTGATTTTGAGAGGATGTCTGTGTGGCAGCACATGGGCTCCAAATCTTTCTAATATTGTGGCATAACCCATAGAAGTGAATTGATTGACCTCCTGGCAGATGTTCAAAATCACATGGAGAAAATGAGAACTGTCCAGCCCCACCTTTGAAGATACCCAGCAAGTTCACTTGTCAGTGGGTTTTTTTTGTCGGTTTGTGGTACTTTAAAATCAGCAAAAATTGACCATCAACCAGCAAAGATTGACCCAGTCACCAGTCACATTCCTTCAGATGCCAATCCTTTACAGGTGACCCATGGTGACCCAATGCGTGTCCATCGAGGGGGGATCACCTTTCACCCAGCCTGCAACTCACGTCTGAGGTCAGCAGTTGGAATGGCTCCCTGGCAGGTCAGACCTACTTGGGGAAGGCCTATAGCTGGATAAACCGGCATCCGGCATCAATATGCACCAATCCCTGCATCAATCATATCTTATCATATCTCATCTCTCAGCCAATCCCTTCCCAATAATAGCTGCTATCCCATGCCGTCCCTTTAAACCCTGGGTCACTAGAATACCAGGGAGATGGGATTGCTAGACAGCCACCACCACCACCACCACCATCTTGCCATCATCTTGCCATCATTGGCCAAGAGCCCGTGGCGAGAGCAATGATCAGTCTGGTGCCCTTGTGAGCACACATCCCAGGCATCAAGAGAATAGGTGAACATAGGTGAATACAGCTTTCGGGCTGTAGATGATATGTTAACCTCAATGTGCAACCTGATGTTTAGCAGAGTTCCTCCCAGCCCAGATTCCCAGATACACGGGGAAAATGGGCTTATATATCCAAGTTCGACCCCTTGCGGTACAACAGGATCAACAGGATCAACAGGATCAACAGGATCAACAGGTTGGAGCAAGCCTGTTCAGCTTTCCCCAAGCTTTACCAAGAAAAAAACACATGAAATCCATGGTGAACCCCGGAATCCCCTGGCGCTAAGCTCCTTGGAATTTCGGATCTTGTCCATGCGGGCAATCGAAGCCTCACCCGCCTGGGGGACCATCATTCCATTGTACTGCTTGGTGAAGAATGGGATTCCCTGTTCTTGGATTGATATGTGTGTTAAGTTATATTATCATTCCAATGTGTATATATATAATTATATATATATTACTAAACTCCCCCAAAAAACGTAAACCGGTGATCTATTTTTATTATTAGGTGGTATTTTGTATTAGGGTGCCCCTAATATTCCGATGAAAACCCTAACAATAAAAATAAAAAACGTTATTTCAAATGTGACTAAATCCCTCCCTTATTAAAAACTATATAAAATATTGCCAAAAACTGGATTTCAAGCTTTCCCCTAATATTCCAATAAAAGCCTCAATGATAAAAGTAAAAAACAACTCGATTTCAAATTTGATTAAATCCATTATTAAAATCTACGTATATAAAATATTGCCAAAAACTCGTTTTCGAAGATTTCCCTTAATATTCCAATGAAAACCTTAATATTCAAAATAAAAATAAAACTTGTGAGATGGGACCCTAATAAAAAACCTCCAGGTGGCAATCTATTTTTATTCATAGGGGGTTGAACCCATTGTTTCACCATCCTGTTCTCCTATTAATTCTCAACTACCACAATTAAGAATCCAATTGTGCCCAACCAAAAAAAAACGGAAGTGCCACACCAATCCATTTTTTTTTATTTGGGGGAGTTTTAGTAATAGGAAGAAGGGATTTGTATAATCCCCGAACTAATCAACAGGGGTTCACACTGCACCGTTGGAGACGAACCGATGTCGCCGAGGCGCATTCTTTGGAAGGTTGATTGGAGGGCCTGAGCTGGCGCCATGTGCATCCCCCCACACCTAAAAATCTTCAGTTTCCCATGCTTAAATCCTAAAAAATCCCATATGTTCCCGTCGTTGAATCCCTCGAAAAACACCAAAATTATTCCTGAAAAAAACGGGAATATTGGATGATCACCAATATTCAAAGACAACAAGATCATCTCCCTAGCCATTCTCTACACCCCCCAGCCTTATCTCTACCATTTTTGATCATCAAATCCTCATCTTGCTGAAATCCCCGAGGTTTCATGTTTAAATCACCCATGACCCATGGTTAAATTCATGAATCTCTCATTCCCACTGTTTTCATGGTTAAGTCCAAGTTGTTTTCTTAACTTCCCATCGTTTCATGTATGTTCATCATTCCACATGGTGAACTCCACCATTGTCGCCCCTGTTTCATGTCTGATTGCAAAAACTCCATGGTTTCATCATTTTGCATCACAAAATCCCAAGTTTTCACATGAACTCCCAGTTCTTCCCCATAGCAATACGGTGATGTCCCAGGGTTTTTTCCTGTTTTTTCAGGTTTTTCCCCAGTTTGTCAGAGGTTTCCTGAAATGGGGCTCAGTTTTCATCCATTTTCCGAGGGAAAAAACCATTGGAGAAACCATGGTGTCCCCATCCCCGGCATCCAGGCGTCTGTTCGGCTTCACCAGTTCCGCCGTGGTGTCCGCCGCCTGGCGTCCGAAGACGACCAGATCCAGCAGGGAGTTGGCGCCCAGACGGTTGGCGCCGTGCACGGAGGCGCAACCGGCCTGGAGAAATTTCATGGGGATTTTTCATGGGATTTTTCATGGTGAATATCCATGAATAGTGAGTAATTTCAGATCTCATGGGATATGGAGGTTGAAATGGATGGAACCCATGGAACCCATGGAACCGAAGGGGCCATTCTATGGCCTAATTATACGGGAATCTCCCCAAATCTCCCGTTTTTTCGGCTGTTTTTATGGTTACAAAAAAGGGATTTCTCATAGTGCCATAACCATTCACCATTAGTGCCATTAGGTTTTTTTGGGGGGGATGGGTTTACCAAACAGATTGGACACATTGACCATGCCAGTGAGTTAACCATCAGAAATGGGGAACCCTGGCACCAGAAATGATCCACATCTGGGAATCAACGCTGAAGAATGATTAAAAAAACAGGAAGTTCGCCATGGAACGTGTGGAAAAGTTACAAAAAACTCACGAAAACGTTGGGAGTTTGAATCATTGACAATTGGTATATTTACCCAACAAGAAATGTTGATTTTTCAGCATCAAAGTTGGTATATTTACCCTTCACCGGAAAAATGTGGGGTAAATCCAACGGATCCTGGCCATATCCTCATGATAGTTCACCATATATCCAGCTATGGGGATATGAAAATATGACCAATTTTCACCGAATATCACCAACTTTCACAGAAGGTTATGATATCTATTGTTCCATATTACATATCCAAGTTTAAAATCAAACGCATAACAGCATATAACACCTATTCATGAACTGCCCATGGTGGTTCTGTTCCATATCCCATTCTGGCCTCTCCAGCCGCAAGCAGTCCAGGGACAATGGTGTCCTCTGCGTCCCTGACCACCTGCAGTGCGCGTCTTTCTGGCGATTCCAAGCTAAAAAGGCAATACCCTTTGGTAATTTTCCCACAGAAAAACTCATCATTGATAGAATTTTCATAGATGAAATACCCAATTTAACTTCAATTTAACATCATTCAACATCATTCAACATCCTTACAGCCACCTTAAAGAATCTTGAGTCACAACCGAAACAACGACCCCACTTCGGAACCTGTGTCTTCCAATTGGTTGGGATGCCACCCATGTTGTAATGCACCGTTGGCAGCACTGGAGCCGGTTCCTGGCGCTGCACTGAACAAATGGCACTAGTGAAACTATCGTTTTGTCAGACAAGGATTGGTTGTCAATTATAACCTGGTTGGTGGTTTCAACCCCTCTGAAAAATATTAGTCAGTTGGGATGATTATTCCCAGTATATGGAAAAATAAAAAATGTTCCAAACCACCAACCAGATAACCTATGCTATAGGGATGTGATACAAACACGCGCGAACACACACACACCATTGTTCTTTGTTGCATACAGTAGCCCGTCGTTTTTCTGGGGTCCACACAACTGTTTTGTTCAGGTTTTCTCCCAACACTGCAGATGCCCATGATTGATTCGCCAAATTCAGATTGCTCATTTACCCCTTTTGCATGATTAACCCCCTATTTGCGCTATTTGTTCATCATTTTTCATAGTCAAATCCTCATCTTTCTGCCAAACCACAATTGTTCAACAGTTAAACCATATTTTTTCCTGGTAAAAACAGGATTTTTGATGGTTAAACCATCTTTTTCCATAGTCAAGTCCAATCTGTTGGATCCCGATGTTTTACCCATTTTCACCCGGGACGGGAACATCCTTGGTGACATCGACGCCCGCGAAGATCTTGGCCGTTTCGGAGATGCCAGGCAGACGCTCCGCCAGCGTCTCAGGAGGAAGGTGATCCAAGTGCAGGTAGATGTGGTCCTGGCAAGGAATGGATGATTCAAATGATAGGTAAATCAACTATACATGGTAAAGAATGGGTAAAGAAAAACCTTTCTTCTGGATGTTATTTATAGTTTATTTACCTATTTTCCGATTCAAAGAATAGTATATCCACCATAACATATTAATGGCTAATGATCATAGCAATATAGAATGGAATGGTGATTGATAACGGTAATGATAATATCATATACCCTCTGGTACACTGTTCAAAGAATAGTACAGGATGGGGCCCCCAGTCGATAGCGTTCAGTTGCCTGAAACAAGTGGCTGAATTCTATGGTTTATGGAAGATATTGCTAGATATAACGAACTAGTCAATGGGGTTCATAAACCAACTTACAAACTGGTGGGGCACCATCCTGTATATCCACCATATAATATTGAAGATAATGGTAAATATATAATGGATCGGTGACTGATAATGGTAATGATCATATAATAATTATATTACAAATTGTTATCATAAGAATGGTATTATGCCCTCTGGCAAATTAACATAGACCCTGGCAGATAGGGGTTGGAAGATCCATTTTCATTCAAACCGGGCTATGTTCAAAGTCTATGTGAATTTACCGGAGGTAATATTACCAACTATAATCATAAAAATGGTATTATATTATATACCTAATGGTGTATTATACATATTACCCAATATCGAAAATGTTATGATAATGATATGATAATGATATGATAATGATATGATAATGATATGATATTGATATGATAATGATATGATAATGATATTGATATGATATTGATATGATAATGATATGATAATGATATTGATATGATAATGGTATGATAATGATATGATAATGATATTGATATGAAAATGATCTGATAATGATATGATAATGATATGATAATGACATGATAATGATATGATGATGATATGACAATAAGTATATAATGGTATTTAAAATAAAGGGTATTAAGGTTAATGGGTATATTATGCAATGATGTAGTGTTATCAATGCCATTATAATTGTATTATCTTGTTACTTAATATTATTTATACCAATAATAATATAGTAATATAGCAATATTGCGTATATAGTGGTAGGTGTATAATTCCAGCTACTATATAATATGGTGTATAATGTATAATTGCTATGTCAAAAAAATAGTGGAATGTGTTATATACTAGTATATAATAATTTGATGGCATCACAGGCTTATTATATAATGTAATGTTAATTGGAATGCACATATAATTGGTACAGTATGTAATATCATATCATGGTGGGCACCTGTTCGTTTTTTGGGGCACCAATTTATGTGAATGGATGTAGCTGATATGTGTTAATTTGTATTGATTATGATTATATAAACAGGGATATTATATGTATTATATGTATTATATGTATTATATATATATACAGTTTGTAATACATATACTGGTATGCATTGATGAATCTTGTTAGAACCAGTAGTTTCAAGATCAAGGTAACATTCAGCTGCTTTAACCAGTAGTATTGCAAGCGATACTGTTTCGAATTTCGGGGCTTCACCTGTGGCGGATGCATTGAAATGAGCCGGAAAAAAACGGGAGCCTTTCAACATGTGTCCATTACATTATCGACGCCAGTTTCAATGGGGAAAATCATGATCAACCATGAGATTTTTGGGTTTTCATTAACATTCATTGACATTTTCACACAATCCCCATGTATTGAGGTCAAAATCATTGATCTTTGGTTGCTTTTACCCTTTTTTTCAGATGGTCAGTTCCCCTTTTTTCATGGTTAACTCTCCACTTTCTTATGGATAAATCCTGCAAAAATGGATGATTTACCATGATTTACCCTCTGGTAAACTAACATAGCCATTGAAAATGGCCATAGAAATAGTTGATTTACCCATAAAAAATGGTGGTTTTCTATAGTTATGTGAGTTTACCATGATTTACCCACCATTTGTCCCAATTTCTCCATGGCAGGACCCGCCCAACTGTAGCGATTTTCACGGAGCAAACGCTGAGCCGAGCGTTTCCGCCGTCCTTGTTCGGTCCCACACCACGTCCCTCGCGGATCTCCAGAGTCATGGCGCGACTCACGACGTCTCGGGAGGCCAAGTCCTGTGACGAACATCCCGAGACGTTTTCGAAAAAAGACGGGGATTTACCATGGAAAAAATGGATTTGATCATGAAAAATATGGATTTGATCATGAAACATGTTGATTTTGATCATGAAAAATGTTTGATTTGATGAGTTGACCATGAAGAAATTGGGAATTTGACCATGAAAACGGGGGAAGTCATGAACAGATTGGATTGACATATGAAAAAATGCAGCCACTTATCCCACAAAAATTCAAAGAGAACAAGAACCAATATAACCATATATAACCACCTTAGTGAAATGATCGAAGAACAGTGACCATTCACTTTCCTAGTTTCCTGCCAGTCGGAGTTGACCCAGCAAATCAGCAAAAAAACAAATGGGATATTCTGTTTGGATATTCAATATACTGATAATATATATATATATAATAAGATATCATGTATATATATATATATTACAATAATTATTATTACATATATTACTATTATAATCATTATCATGACTATTATTATCATTATTATTAGTTATCATTATCATTATAATATATATATAAATACATACACATCACTGATGATCATCCCATTAATCCATCCCAAATGATCCATCCACAGCTCCTTGGCGGTGGGTGCGTAGCGCGCCATGAAGGGATCGCCCTCGCTGTTGCGAAGGATGCCTCCCTCGCCCCGGCAGCCCTCGGTCAGCAGGCAACCTGCAGGGAAGATACCTGGCGGACGTTGAGGTGCGAAATGTTGCGAAGGATCAATGCATGTCTTGGCAACCTGAAAACCTGGAAAGCTGTTGCAAATCTGGTAGGTTCTACAAGTTCTACTATGAACTTGGCTCTTGGAAACCTGAAAGCCTGTTTCAAATCTGGTTCTACTATGTAGTTACTATGTAGTTACTATGTAGTTACTATGTAGTTACTATGTAGTTACTATGTAGTTACTATGTAGTTACTATGTAGTTACTATGTAGTTACTATGTAGTTACTATGTAGTTACTATGTAGTTACTATGTAGTTACTATGTAGTTACTATGAACATACTCATCTGTAGGTCGTACTCAACAAAAATGACGTTTACCAGTTCTTTTGTAATGCCATCCCATGTTGAAAGTAACCACCCCCCATTCATTTTAATCCCATATTAATCCCATATTAATCATCCATTCATATTAAGATATATTAACCATCCCCCATATAGTTGATAGAAATCAGATAATTGGAGCACTCCCCAGAAAGCATTGGATATCATTGGATGGGGATGAAGTCACATTTTTTTTTGGGAACATAATTCATTAATCATAAATTCAACATCATTGGAATGGGATGATAACTTCCCATAATGAATCCCATCACATAAATTACTATATGGAAATTATGAATCCCATATAATCCCATAATGGGGTGATTATAACTTCCAATAATGGGATTATAACTTCCAAAAATGGAACATGGCCGTAGAAATAGTTGATTTTCCCATTAAAATGGTGATGTTCCATAGTTTTTTGTATGTTTACCAGTGGGTAATTGGAACATATTGGAACCACAGGATGATGAAAAAAGCAGCTTGGGAGTAGGATATTTGTCGGCCGCCTGTGGGATGGAACTGCACAAACTCCAAGTCCTGCATCGGCAGTCCAGCTCGGGAGGCCATGGCGCTGCCATCACCTGCGGCGTAATTAAGAAAGTTCAAACCGCCATTGGGATGTCTGATTCCAATATGGAAAATATCTACATGACAAATTATGTATATGTATATTATGTATATGTATATTGTGTATATATGTATATGATGTATATGATGTATATGATGTATATGATGTATATGATGTATATGATGTATATGATGTATATGATGTATATGATGTATATGATGTATATATGTATCTTTATACATGTTGGTACAGTACATGAAACCCAACAATGTGGAGACAATATGTATACTGTATAATCACCTACCATAATCGGAAAACCTTCTTGGGATTGGTCAGATACCAGGTACTAACTTCATTACCCGAAAGTCCGAGAATCTTCTGTATTTGGGTGGGGGAGGCAAATCAACTTGGGTAACACGAAGCATCAGCAGCTTCCTAACATAGATGGGATGATCATCGAAAGCCCCTAACAAATCAAGACACCAACAAAATGCCAAAAAAAAACTTAGGCCTAGGCCTGATTCTTGACCTGTAGCCACTGTAGCCACTGATCCGTGAATATCTGAATATCTATGAATATCCACTAAAACCATTTATAATCATTTATAGATGATTTTCCCATAGTAGTTTCCCATATGAGTGGCGGACGAAATTACTTGTTCCCGGAAATTGCCACGAGCAAAACTGGGTCGCCCCCTATCGGTTGTGAATATTTTCTCTCTTTGATAACATCCAGTAGCAAATGCTGCTAGTAAGTAGCACCACTAGTAGTAGCAGTAGTAGAAGGAAGAGGTGTAGGGGTAGTGGAAGTGGTTTTCGTAGTCGTAGTGGCACTTGCAGTGGTAGTGGTAGTGGTAGTGATAGGGCTGCTGGTGCTGGTGGTGTAGTAGTAGTATGACGAGGCAAAGTAGTAGTAGTCGTAGCAGTAGCAGTAGCAGTAGCAGTAGTAGTAGCAGTAGTAGTAGTAGTAGCAGGAGAAGCAGTAGCAGTAGCAGTAGTATGTGGGCATGGTCTCGGCAAGTGAAAAAAACTGCAGAATTGGGTATCGGCTAGTATCGGTTGGGGTATCGGTGAGAATGGCGCATGAATTGCCGCAAACAATATGCTTGGTGCTCTCTAAGAGGAAAGCTAGCTGAGGCAGCTGTTTAAAGCCTGGTTCGTAGCCGTTGCTGTAGAAATAAGCACCCTATAACACCCTGCTGCAAATTATTGTGGGAACTTGTTGAAATCTAGGGGTATTGATGCTAGGTCGTCCACTATTCGGTTGTGAAGGTTTCGTGAAGGCAAGCAAAGTGCAAGATGTTCAAGGCAGCTCTCTACTTTCAATTAAACATTTCATAGCTCTTTGAAACACATTTCATATAGCATTTCAACCATCATTGGATTATACGAGTAGCACCCAATAGCAATAGCGAAAAACCATCCCCGACCTGTGCAGGTGTGAGCAGAGGTGCAGGACTGATAGGCGCGTCCAAATCCGCCGGTGGCGATGATGGTGCTGTGGGCACCGAAACGATGGATGGAGCCATCCTCCATGCACCTCGCGGATGATTCTCTGGTGGGATGATGCCGGGACAATCATGGGAGGGAGATATGAACATTTTAAGATATTTTAAGGATATAACATTATATTAACTCACCAATTAAGTCAAACCATGGTGGGCTGGGAAATCCTGTGCCTATGGGCAGTTCAATACGAAAATCATCGAACTAAATGGTGAATGTTCTAGCCATGTTTGATTGCCGAAGGGCAACCGTTTTGCTTGGGTGGTATGGATTTTGCTCTAATTTTCTGGGGACGTTGGTGGATACGATACAGCAACACAATGCGAACGTGTTTGTAGAACCAACAATAGAGGATCTTGAATCTAGAATCATGATTAATCTAGTCATTGATTCCCACCACCACTTGATCCACTTGATCCACTTGATCCACTTGATCCACTTGTAGCAAAGCCCTAGCGACCCACTCGTGTTTCCCACAAAGCTTCCAAGGAACATGGCCACACATCCCAAGCACTTGCCATCATCGCCTCGGTGAAAAAAGAGAAGACAAAATGGAAGAAACTGGATGGCCATGTATGGCCATTCTTAGATCATGTAGTGACTGTAGTGACTGTAGTGACTTAGCACACTTCTCTGTTAAGAAAGACCAGCATTTGGATCATTTGGACACGGTGCCCTCTTTTTTACTCGTAGTTTCCCTGCAGAAATCTGCCTTGTCCCTTGGGATCCGACTCATGATGAGGTCCATTGCAAAGTACTCGACGAAGAACAGGCAGTCGAATTTCAAGGCCATGCCTGGGGAGTTGGTGTCTGGTCTCCCCACTTGCACCATGTTATGTTGCAATGGCCGCAAGGGCGCCACACATGTGATGTTTCTTTGATAACTATATATATATATATGTATATATATATATATGTATCACTGACTATCACAACATATCACAACCTTTCGGAACACATTCATGTTGTCATCATTTCTATTCACTGTACCATTTTGTTAATGTTGAACAACCATTCCTTGCGTTGTCTGTAGCATTTTTTCCATTTCTGCTTGGATCATCCCGAGCGATGCGTACCGTAGAGGGTGTGCAGAATGGCGTGGCCCGTACGGTCCGCTGCAGCAGCGCAGCGATAGGCTTGACCACCTGCACACGATGAATGGTGTATCAACAATTCTTAAACGATGATATCATCCTCAACTGGTTATACACATATGTAACATCATATGTATATATATATATGAATGGTATATAACCAATGATTCGTGGTCTAGAACCAGTGATCATTGCTACACACATTTATGTATGTGTATATATATATATACGTATATACAGTACATATATCACTGATTGATGTAAAACTTATAAAACCAGTTGATCACTATTGGGAATACACCAGTTATGTTGGTTTTTTTCTCCACCCCGTTACAACCAAAGATTGATCCATCATCCATCAGTTGGCCTTTGCCGAACTTCAGGCTTTGCCCGCCGAAGGCTCGTTGATAGATCTTGCCCTGGCAGCGCGGTGAAGTTACGATGATGAGCGTAAACACAATACAGCTGGGAAAAAGGGAAATGACATGTATTTATGAAATTTTATGAATATAACATCTCTATTCTATATATATATATTTCTATATCATATCATGTCATGTCAATGTCATGTAGAACCACCAAGCAATTGTGGATCATACTCCAACAACTTGATCCCTCTTTCAGAACTCGCGAAGAACGGCCTCGGGGGTTCGCGAGAAGGGCAGACCAAAAGACTCCAGCTCCAAAATGACCTGGCTGGGTATGGGTCAAGTAGACCACTGATGTCATTCTGAATGAGTTGTGTTGAAAAAATAAAGGAATCATTGAAAAAAGTGGGGTACCAAATTTTGACTCATAGCCATCCATACCCATAATATGCTTGTGCCTGAAAATGGGGGACTTGCAATCACCTCAGAAAGGACGTGCAGTCCTTAAGATGTGCAACAGCAAGTTGCCAAGGCTTGGTATTACTAGTACCACCCGCATTTTCCCATGAAAAATCGCGCCATTTTTGGTCCATTCCCAGGTCTTCCAAGGTCTTTCCAGGTCTTCCAGGACCCCGGGGGACCTCTGGAGCCAATCTGCACATGTGTTGGATGGCATCTTGATCTCCCAACCAATCGGCACCCTTCACGGTGTCATAGGCGTGCCAACGCCAGTCATCCTGAGCGATTCGATGGTTCGATGGCGTGCGATCTTTGAGGAGCTAAATTGGAATGTTTGGTTTGGGATGTTACTTCTGTTACTTGATATATCTTGATATGATGTTCGATGTGTTGTGTTCCCATTGCGTTCCCATGTGTTTAGGGGAGGTTTCGCTAATGTCTGTGTGACATCCATGCTGACACAATTGACAACAGTAAACAGAGACTTCCATCTGCAGATTTCGACTGCTGGCCTCGGTCATGTTGGCCAAAGCACCGTTGATGCCACCTGGCCACTTGGATGGTTGCGTTGCTGGCAACTTCTCTATGATACTTTGTAAACTCTTGAAACTCCATTGGAAAAAAACCTGACATCAGCGTCTCTGGCTGCCTCTCCCACACGAATGAGATCTTACAATTGCTCTTCGATCATGCCCACCTTGTGCTGCCACCGTGTGTGATCTTGTGGGAAAGACCTGGCGGGGATGATGCGATTCGATATTGTTGTGGTGTCACAAACGCAGAATCGGTTCAAATACTTCCAGCATAAAACCTTCCCCGTCTTTCAACATATTGGGCCATCATACTTTTCCTATCATTTGCTTTCCTTTGGTTCATAATATGTGCCATGATCAAATCATGGTATATGGGTTTATAACGTAGTTTTACCTAAGATTGGTTTAACATTGAATCCATGGCACACACATCTTCTAAAAATATGAATATAGACCATTTATACCATGTAACATCTTTGGCCATGGCAATGACATATTCATATTTATAGTCTTGTCCACATCTCACCATTACCATTTGTGAAAAAATCACATGGCAATGGACAATTCCATCATTTTATGTATATATATATATATATACACCATCTGGGTATTTAACATAGCCATGGAAAATGCCCCATTTATAGATGGTTCACCTATTAGAAATGGCGATTTTCCATGGCCATGTTAGTCATAACCAGAGGGTATATATTATTGAGAACTATAAATATATTTAATGGTCGACTTTTCGCTAGAAACCTCCATTTATCATCGATTTAGTACCTCCATTTTTGGTGGGAAATTTCCCCGCCGCCTTAGTGATGCAGGCCGTCTTCAGGCCGTGGTTCACCAAGCCGGCAGCAGCTCGGAGACCTGTCATCGGAAGATCCTGATTTTGTTGGGGGAGGTTGTTCTTTGAGTTTTCCGAATATGATCATCTGATTTTTGTTGGTTCTTTTTTCTTTGAAATTCTAAAAAAATCTATGGTGTCAACTCTTTGAATCTCTGTAACATGTGGTGCCAAAGGGATCTGAACCAAGAAGCTGGGAAACGAGGCCTTGGACATCGCCGAAATGATGGCTCCAGAAATAGGGACCAGGGTGTGGTACAGAAATGGCAGAAATGATGGTATTTTTTTGGCCGGAAAACATGGGGTGTTTCTCAAATGTTGGGGTCCAATGAAACAGACGACAATCCCTTCAGGATCATCCCATGTCGGTTGAACATTTTACCAACATGAACGCGCCGTAACCAGTAAAAATCCAGTAAAAATCCAGTAAAATTCCCAGTAAAAACCAGTAACATTTCCAGTAAAATCTAGTAAAATCTAGTTCTATAACCATTCATTGTTGGACATTTTGGTTTTCACCACATCTCCCCATCGAAAGCTGGTGCGCCAATGGCCGGCGACCAAAAAACTATGACCTGCACCACCCGCGCCGATGACCACGGCGTCGTAGGAGTGGTCGAAAACTTCATAGCCACCAACCCTCAGATGAGCATTTGGTATTATAGATGTATAAATCTTATATCTTGGTGGTTAGATGGGTTTTTTTCCACCATTATAAAGCAATTGAGCAGTGTTCAAAACCCCGAAATGTCATTCCATTTAATCCTGGTTAAGAATGGGATTCCCAATTCTTGGATTATGAAATAATCCCCAATCATCATGAAGGGTAGTTTTTTATCCCCGAACTAATCATCAACCCTGCCAGGGGTTTAATTTACACTGCTCAGATGATGCTGCTGCAGAATCCCAAGATGTTCAATTCCGGGAAAGGAAGTCTTGGAAAACTGGGAAACCTCCAATTTTTACGTCTCGCAACACGTTCGCTCAGCGAGTGGATCTATCTGGGTCTCAGCCCCAGCAATGCTCAGTTCTGCTAAACAGTTCGCCCACTGCTGCTGTAGAAACCAAAAGCCCAACCTTAAAATCTGCAAAAAATCAAAATGGTTCCCCAACACACAGTTTTTGTTCCATCCATTTCCAATTTATTTCCCCCTCAAACCATTGGGATTGTTCGATGAGGTTCATCCACTTACCCTCGGGTTGTTTAACGCAGCTACGAACAATGGCCCATTTGTAGATTATTTATGAACATGTATCTATTAAAAATGTTGATATAGCCGGCTCGAGTCTATGATTTACCCATTCAAAATGGCCATGATTTTTTACCCATATGATTTATGATGATTTATAGATTATTCATAGATGATTTACAGATAATTTATGCATGATTTATGGATGGTTTACAAAATGTTGCATGATGATTTACCCTCTGGTAAACTAACAGTTTGCTATTGAAAATGGCCATAGAAATAGTCGATTTACATCTTAGAAATGGTGATTTTCCATAGTTCTGTTAGTTTACCAGAGGGTACATCTTACAAAACCATCCATTTATAGCTTCCCCAGCCATCCCCAGCCGAGCCACGTAGAGCTGCTTACGGACCTCTTGCCGACGGCTTGCTCCAGCCGTCGGCAGAGGGCTGCGCGGGCTGCACCAGATCCCGAACGGAGCCGAGAAAACATGGCCTGGCAGATGGGGGCCCAGAGGGACGGTTGGAATCACCAAACAAAACATGTGGAATTTCATGGAATCAACAAAAAACCATGTGGAATATGTGGAATTCAGAAAAAAAACATGATGTTCAGAAGGAAATGAATGGATGTTGTTGAAGCCTCTAGTAAAATCAGAGTGGTTTCGGATTTAAAAAGGACATATAAGCACAAATCACGGTCTTTACCCCACTGAAGGAGTTGTTTTGGGAGATGCTTCGGACTTTTGATTTTTGAAGCAACCCGCTTGAGCAGGTTCAAAAAGAAGTCGCGCGATGATTATATACCACCCAATGTATTGGTGATTATCATAATCCATCATTACCCATTCATGATAACCATGACAGCTGGTGAAGATCTATATCATATTCATTCTTAGTATATATCCTTCATGATCCGTACTTTATATATATAATATTCAGTATTTGTATATTCCTATTATATAGGTCATTGTCAGTATTACATATGTCGCCATGATAGCATATAATGTATATACATAATGCACAATTAGATATATGTATGTATATATAATCCACTGTATATATGTAAAACACATGTATCTGTGTATATATATACATAAAGATATTCCGTATTTCTATGTGTATATATATATACACGTATATTTATATCATATATGACCCCTATATCCCTATTGCAGCCAGACCTTGTGAAGGGGTGTCTGGGACTTGCCTTCACGTGCAGTCCACGCTGGCGCGGGCGGCAAAATGGCTGTTGTCACGGGTGCCTTTGGAGCCTAAAAGTGGAAACCAACCGATTTCAATGGATGTGTACGTTGGGGATGAAGGTGTCATTTGTTTTGAGGACATATTCACAGGAAATCCTTTATATACTGATATAATCTATTATCATCTTCATTATTTAATGGTACAAACGATTCTTTTCTTGTACTGTTTTCCCTTTAAACCCATCCATTTAGGAAAGAATTGCTTGCAGGTATCACTCAGGGCCTGCCGGAAGAGGCTGGAAGAAATTATCATTTACTGTATAGAAAACAAATCTAAGCTTCACATCATATTGAAATTGCAGAACACATATAAACAATTATAAACATATATTACTCCGTGAAATATTGGCAAGGTGCAACTTGGTGCAAAACAAACCATGGTATCCATGGTATGTAACAGGGTAGTGAGGTATTTGGAAGTTTGTTCTTCCAGTACAGAGCGACCTCGGAAGTTTGTTCTCCCCGCCGTGATCGCACAAGGTGCATTCAAGCGGTGGCTTTGCCACGGAAATGAAGCGTGGATCACGTTGATCACGTGACACGGCGTTGATCAAGCGTGTGAAAAAAAAACTATCCCAACAATATGCTGGTAAATTCATGTCAATTTGGGATAATCATCCCATTTTGCGGAAGGGTAATTCATTGGTATATTTGACACCGAGCAGTCAAGTGAAAGAGACATGAGATATCATGAGATCATTCCACTGAAGCTATGAACCGCTTTATGTGTCACTTTATGTGTCACTTTATGTGTCACATGCACGCTGGTGAGACACAGGAAACATGTCCAAACACGTTGCGCGTTGCCCGGGATCCTGATGAAGATCAGGATCCCCACCTTCTACCTGTCACAAATCACCTGATCGCAGGGAGCTACTGATCATGTTAATCTGTGGAAAACTCATTTGGAAATCTGGAAATCTGAGATCCCAAATCTGTGGAAATCTGAGAAATCTCTGGAAAACTGTAAGTCTTAAGTGAGTGGAACAAAATTACCTTCAGAGACACGGGCTGAACATGTCATATCCGCCGACCCCTGCCTAGCCTTGGCCCAGGCGGGGCGGCGCCCGGGATCACCGCAGGTGTGCGGCTTTGGCCTGCTAGGACCTCGGCCTGCATGGTCCACCAGACACCAGCCTTTGCCACTGCCTTCCCAAGTCACCGCGAACACGTTGCCCTGCAGCGGCAGCCCGTTGCCAGCGCTTGGCCATGTCGCCATATTGCCATACTCCACTCCATCCATTTAGAGGGTTTCACAACCTGCGCGAAGCATCCCAGGTCACCGCAAACACGTTGCTCTGCAGCGGCAGCCCTTTGCCAGCGCTTGGCCATGTCGCCATATCGCCATACTCCACTACATCCATTTAGAGGGTTTCACAACCTGCGCGAAGCACGGGCCATCAGGACACAAAACCCCCGTGTGGGCCTTTACCGCTTTGCCACTGCCTTCCCAGGTCACCGGCCATGTCGCCATAATCCATTTATATAGAGGGTTTCAAAACGTGCGCGAAGCACGGTCCATCAGGACACAAAACCCCTCTGTGGGCCTTCCCAGGTCACTGCGAACACGTTGCCCTGCAGCAGCAGTCCTTTGCCAGCGCCTGGCCAGTCGCCATACTCCATTTAGAGGGTTTCAAAACGTGCGCGAAGCACGGCCCATCACGACACAAAACCCCTCTGTAGGCCTTTACCGCTTTGCCACTGCCTTCACAGTCACCGCAAACACGTTGCCCTGCAGCGGCAGTCCTTTGCCAGCGCCTGGCCAGTCGCCATACTCCATTTAGAGGGTCCCAAAACGTGCGCGCGAAGCACGGCCCATCACGACACAAAACCCCCTCTGTGGGCCTTTACCGCTTTGCCACTGCTTTCCCAAGTCACTGCGAACACGTTGCCCTGCAGCAGTCCTTTGCCAGCGCCTGGCCAGTCGCCATACTCCATTTAGAGGGTTTCAAAACGTGCGCGAAGCACGGCCCATCACGACACAAAACCCGTCTGTGGGCCTTTACCGCTTTGCCACTGCCTTCCCAGGTCACCGCAAACACGTTGCCCTGCAGTGGCAGTCTTTGCCAGCGCCTGGCCAGTCGCCATACTCCATTTAGAGGGTTTCAAAACGTGCGCGAAGCACGGCCCATCACGACACAAAACCCCTCTGTGGGCCTTTACCGCTTTGCCACTGCTTACCCAAGTCACTGCGAACACGTTGCCCTGCAGCAGTCCTTTGCCAGCGCCTGGCCAGTCGCCAACCCGTCTGTGGGCCTTTACCGCTTTGCCACTGCCTTCCCAGGTCACCGCGAACACGTTGCCCTGCAGCAGCAGTCCTTTGCCAGCGCCTGGCCAGTCGCCATACTCCATTTAGAGGGTTTCAAAACGTGCGCGAAGCACGGCCCATCACGACAGAAAACCCGTCTGTGGGCCTTTACCGCTTTGCCGCTGCC